TACGTGTCAATACTAGTATAAATTAATTAAAAATATTATTATCGAGAGATCTTTTATTAATAATAATATTTTTATCAATTATTCATTAATTTTTATTAATTTTATTTTCATTAATAATAATATTATTGTCGAGAAATTTTTTATTAATAACATTTTTGTTAGTTATTTAATTTAATTAATTTTCATTAATTTTTATGAATTTTATTTTTATTAATAATAATATTATTATCGAGAGATCTTTCTCCATCTGTGATAAAATAAAAATTTCCATAGTAAAAAAAATATTATAACAAATTTATGATCGATATAATTGTATCATTATTTTTTTTCACATAAAGACAAGCCGAGCGATAAGACACAATGCAGATTGGGAGATTCGCCGAGGGTTGTTATTCGAAAAATTCCATGCTTCGTCGATCGTTTATCGCTTTAAGAAATCGCATTCACGGCAACGCCAACGTAAGGACTTACGTAGGTACGTTCTTGAAACGCGGCTGCTCTTAAGCGCTGATTTCATCAACGCTGAAACGTGACTTTGCACTCGCGAGGATGCCTCGGGTCTTTATCTACAAAAGATTTCCGAGTAACTACACATTTATTCGTGTTTAAAGCGAAATGCAATATTCTTAAGTAACGCTATTTCTTTAGGAAAAAAAATATTTGCGTACGTATTATCGTATTTTTTTTAATATTATTAATATTCTTAAATCTATAAAAAAGAATCGTCGACAGACGATAATTACACGTGGGTCGACTCTTTGACCTATTTAATATATATTTATAAATCTCTGGAAAAAACGCGTATTTTTTCGAAAACAATTTACAGCGACATTACCTATCTGCAAATGCGAGTAATTCGATTGTGTGACCGAAATGGAAGTAATTATAAATTCCAATCTACGAAATAATGGATATATTCGACGGCAATGCGATAGATGATATAATGCGTACGATTCGTCTATAAAAAAATGTATCAGTATTATTAATATTTTTAAACAAAAAAATAGCGAAAAAATAGTTGTCTAAAAATCTATTTAAATTTTTTCAATTTCATGTGAATCAAAAAGGGATGAAAATAGAACTCTCTCTTCTATTTTAAAGTCTAGATTCTAATTCTCGGAAAAATAAAGAGTTTCAAGATCAAACTTTAAATTATTTGAGCCTGAAAACAATATATATATATATATATATATATATATATATATATAATTAAATTTATTTGAATTAATGTTTTTAGACTACATATGCATTACAAATAATTAATAGATAGAAACTGCTTATCTTCTTTTTTTCACGAATTATTTTTGCTCGAGTTCTCTTCAAATCGTTTAGAATTGTCGATCGAACCCTTCAATAAAATAGATCGTGGCCATTGTTTTCGCACGAAGCTGTCCTTGGTCGAACAATTCGAGCCACTGCGATTTGCTCGAATCTTTTGCGCCGCCAGCTTCGAGCCGGACTCCCTATTAATTAACGAAAGCGAGCGATCGACGGCGAATTTCTCGCATCGCGTCTCGTCAGTCCTTGTTGGAAAAAAATAACGGTGACAGTCGGCGAGAGGCGAATCGAGGAAATGTATAATTGTGGAATCGAGCGTAGAGCCGGTCCGGTCATGGCATTCCTATTTTTAGTCCGATCCTGATTGGGTGTGCAAACGGAAAGCAAAGGCCAAACCCCCGCGCGTGTTTGCGCGTCCAACGTTTGCTCTCCGCGTTCACGCTCCGTTTCTTCCTTCCTGCCTCCCCCTTCTCGGCTTCCGGTCGCTTTCGAACTTTTCTCGCTTCTCGCAGTTAGGTTGATTTTCGCGCTTTACTGAGCTTTCGACCAACGTTCCTTCACGTCGCACGATCCAATCGTATCAATTCCAACCCCCGGTGTCGATCGTGAAAAAAAAAATCGACTCGCGGGGAAGATGAATTATCCCAGCAAACACCAAGTAACATTAACATAACAGTTATATTGTTGAGTGGGAAATTACAACTGACAGTTATATATAACTGTTATTTGGTGTTTGCTGGAGATGGATCCGTCCAGTTGTCCAAAATAGTATTAAAAAAGAAACTCGACGGATGGACTTTCTCGTCGCGGGAATTTCTGGCACGATCGATCGAGACGGAATCGGATCGAGATCGAGAGAACCGTCTTCGGTCCAGGTCGAGCGACACGCTTAATGGATCGCGAATCCGTGAAAAACCTCGACGAAAGCGATATAAATTATCCCGATTATCCCCGGTTATAACTTTCGATAAAAATAGAGAATCGCTTCTCGTTTATATAGCGAATGTGTGTTAGTAAATAATGGCAAGACACGATCGAACGTAACGTATTAAAGTATTTACGGAGGCCTCTACGGTAAAAGAGCGATACGCTCGCGACGTTGTTTCGCCGACGTTGTTTCGAACGTGCGTTTCTCTTCGCTTCTAGCTTCTGGCCGGGGAGAGCTAACTTTCTGGTCTGGTTTGACAGATGTGACGGATCACGACGACGACGACGACGGTGTCGTATCGTGGCACAAAGCACCGTGGCGCAAATTGGACAGGAAATTAGACCCGATTCTGCCAATGGAGCGAAAGGAAAGGCTCTTTGACGTAAAATGTTTTTCTTCCGACATTGGCGAAACCTCGTCCCGGTCGACATTACGACTAAGAAAGGGCGAATAACGGGCCTAATGGCGAAAGAGTCTTCGCTAGACAGAAGTACCGCTCGCTTTTACCCCATAATGACTAGCGTTAATTTGTGAAAAATACCCCCCGAAGCGTCGAGAGTCATATTTATCATCAAAGAGTATCGCACGGAAGAAGAGAAGGAGAGATGGCTCTCTTTTATCCTCTTCCTCTCTTTACCTTCCAAGATTATTCACGAGTAAACGCTGAATTGAAGCGCGCCATTATTGGCGCGCAATTAATTATTACGGTATAACTTGTAAAAAATATTTAAAGAAAAAAAACGCCAAACGCACATCACTCTCGCTCCACTTGGGACGCCTGAAAAAAAAAAAAAGGCACCTAACTTTTTCGCTCAATAATAGGCCGGGACGACATCGTCGCTAGGGTTGTCCTTTGTCGTCTTCGTTTCCCCGGTACTGGCGTCATTGTTTATCGCTGTCGTCGTTACTTATCATTCTGTTGCAGAAACTAATCGGATTACGGGCGAACGATCGTGACCTAAAATCGATCGTGTCGTTTCGCGGTACGTTGCTGCATAGCGGTTAATTATTCCACGAGTAAAACCGGGGAGAAGGGGAGGATGGCCGGAGGGGGTGAATAATGGTGCGGCCTTTAATCGACACATTATCCGGTATATGTAGAGAAAAAAAATAAGTGTCAAATCAAAACTTATATACTTACACTAACGCGTTTACTATTTCGTATATTTCGCAACAATTTCTAATCTTCGAAGAAATTTAATAATTTTAAATTTCAACAATATCATAGTCTTATTTTAATATTGTAATTATCACCTCAAGAATGCGTAATTATTTAATTCTACTTTAAGAAAATTATAATCTTCGATTTAAAAATGTTATTTCCTATCTAACATTGTTTCTTTTCCACTCGAGAATATTAAATCTTAAATCATAAGAATATATTTTTCTCGATTGAACTAAAATGGCTTCATTCAAGCAATTATATTTTTCTTTAATTAACGCAATATAATCTCACTGTAAGATTTTCATGTTAAAACTAAATATATTTTCAAAACAAAAGTGTCTTTTCTGTGTGCCTTGCGCGTGTAAAAAATTTATCAAAGTACGAATCCTTTTTTTTAAGCGAAGGATGTGTGCCGTACTTAGTGTATTCGGTAAGGAAAGAAAAAAAAAGTGACAGAGTAGGGTATTGAAAGCCTATAATTTGAGGAAAAAAATCGACGTCTCTCTCGTTTTATATCGGAGACCCGCAAAGTAAGAACCCGAGTTTTTTTTTAGATAAGAAAAACCTGTACCTACTTAAAATATATATATACTTGATGAAAGAAAGAGCCAGTCTACTAAAAATTTATAATTTAAAAGAGCAGTCACGAAATCGACGCGTTATTTATCATATTATGCGGAGCTCTCTCCTTCTCTCGCAAAAATCTACGGATCGAGATATTTCGATGAAAAGAATATTTACAGTTGTATTTTTGCAAAACAAAAATGAATAAATAACGCATTGAGGAAAGTCGAAAAATTTGCAGCAACGATCGCGGAAAGGGGTTTAGCGTATATTTTTCCAAGTATATATCCTATTCGAAAGCTCATCGCTTTTCTTGCAAAACTCATTTTAGATTCAGATCTGCAATTCGTGACCAAACGTGTAATTTCGTGCACCCCGTGTTTAGATAATACATGTCTGCGTGTATCCTGGATTTTTGTGCTCGAAATGTTTTCTGCTACAACAATTTCGTTGCGGGAATTATAGATTTGTTTAAAGCAAATTCAATCGTTCAAAAAAAAAAGAGAGAAAAGGAGAGAGAGAAAGATTTAAATCCAAAGTAATAAAGAGACTCGCGAAAAATTCGAGGGGGTGGGGGGATTAAGGTGGAGGGAAAGTTTCGAGGGGTGTTGCTAGGAATAAAAACTCGCTCTGTCCTTTCGGACTTTGATTTTGATCGCGAGCGAACGATCCGGCCGTGGATGCTCCGAGTCAGCCGTCAACCGTCACAGGCCACCCCTGCCGCCTGTCATCTACGCAGCCCCACGCAGATCCACGCAGCTCTCTCTCCACGCTACAACCCGCCGTCGCAGACATTCACGGCCTTCTGCGTCGCGTTTCGCCGGGGGCCGCGCGGAGAGGATATCCAACATAATAAGGAACAGAGGGAACAAACGAGAGAGGAGAAGAACCGAAGTAAGCGAGGCGAGGCGCGAGACGTGAGCTTTTTTTTTTTTTACGGGAGGCCGCGTAATAAAACGAGAGAAACAGAGAGGGAGGGAAAGAGAGAGGGGAATCGATCTTCGGTACACAGTGTACAGGAGAGAAGAGGGAGAGGGAGAGAGATAAAAAGAGATAGACACTTACCGTTGCGGAGGTAGCGTCCGTTCGTCGTCGTCGGCGTCGACGAGGAGGAGAGATCGCGTGCGAGGACGATAGGGAAACGGAGAGCAATCTCCCCCGAGGGTGTCCTGACGCTCTCCCCGCGATACGTCGACTCTCTTCAGCGAGGGATGGTCACAGTCTCCGACACCACCGCGCGAGAAAAAAATCACTCATGAGCGAGAACAACTACCCTCCTCTTCCTTTTAGGCCGGCTGTCCGCAGCGGCGAGCCGCCGCGGAGGCTGCGAGCTCCTCGCAGACGGGAAGAGAGGCAGAAAGAGAGAGATAGAGAGAGAGAGAGAGGGAGGGAGAGAGAAACGGAGTTCCTTCTGCTAGGATCTCTTGTCTCACATTTCTTCTCGCGATGTTACCTCCAGGTTGAATACAACACCGCTCGGCCAGTCCCGATGTTGATGGTGATGTCGCGACGAGGACGCAGAAGACGGCGACGACGACGACGACGACGGCTACGACGACGACGACGACGACGACGATGATAACAACGACGGCGATGACGACGACGACGATGATGACGAGAACTGGCAGCGCCGGGACCAAAACGGCGGAGCGCAGGAAGAGAGAGAGAAGTAGGCCGGTTAACCGTTCAGGCCGCACTGAAGAGTCGAGCGAGCCGCGGGTTAGTGAGGGTGAACCGGCGGGCGGCCTGGCATCCCTCCTCTCGCATCCCCGATACGCACCCCGCCACCGGCAACGAACACCCTCGATCCTCTCGCCACCCCGTCGGCCGCCCCGCTCTCGCTCCCGTTACGTCGCTCTACTCCAACCCGCTGGCACGACGAAGAGAGCCTGGAATTTAAAGCAGGATGGTTTATAGCACAATGCTAGTGTAATAGTGCAAACTGTTATATCTTATATAATGGCACCATAGTGTTGGATGGATCTTGTACCACACGGTAAAAAATTTTCTGTTAAATTTAACATATTTCACGTGTCCCAATTTATCCACTCTAATTTTAATGTTATTTTAACAGAAGGCAAGTATGTAAATAAATAGCACAAGTAATATGTTTAAAAATTAACACAAAAATGTAACACTTAAACTTTATCTAGAAATAAAGTTTATGTTAAATTAACATATTTATAATGTTAAATTTAATTAAAAGAAAATGTTATTTTTATGATAAATAACAGAAGAGATATGTCGATTTAACATATAGAAACTGTTATAGAGAGAAAAGTAGCACAACTTATCTGTTCATTTTAACATGTAACATATATTTCATCAAAAATTCGTGCATTTACATATTAATTGTGTTGTTTCAACTCTTAGAAATGGAATATTAACTCAACGCAGAAATGTCAAAATAACGCAATGATAATATATTATATTAACATAAGAGTATGTTAAAAATTTAACACAAAAATTTTTACACGAGAAAATTTTAACAGAAATACAAAATGTGTTTTACCGTGGAACTATTATCTAGATGCTACGTAGGTATAAATTATGTGAAGAAATTAAAAAGGATGGAATTTTATGCACATGACATACAATAATATGTAATAATTATTATATAATATATATAATTAATTAGTTATATAATTAATATGTTATATAATTATTATATAACAGATATAATTATTATATAACATACATTTTTTATATAACATATAACATATTATTATATAACATATAATAATTATTATATAATTATTATATAAAATATATAATAATTATTCTATGTAAAATATAATAATTTAGAACGTAACAATATATTGAAATATATAGATGCTTTACATATTTAAATAAAAATGTATAGGAAAGAAGAAAAAGATAGCTTAATAATGTAATATGCCAATTAGCTAAATGACAGAATCCGACTCTCCTCAGTACTTTTCACTAATATGTTTGCGTTTCTAAATATGACTGAACAACTAGCTGTCGACAAAGAATTCTCTACGCTTTCTTTTTTAATCCCCCTTAATTCGCTGATCATTTAATCCCTCTGCCGTTCTTCTTTTCTAAATACAAAGAAGATACGCGCTATATATCGTTAATCTTTATAATAAAAAAATTAAAAAATCTGCATTCGCTGTTTTCATGCTCGACGTCATAATCGTACGTTTAATCTCGATGAACGAAGAGACTGATTTGCAATCACCCTGATAAGCGAAGAACTCTTCGCGCGTGAGAAATGGAGGCAGAAGTGCGTCTCAGAACAAGATAAATCATAATTAACATTGCGCACCCCTCGAGCACAAACGAAGAGTAATCTATCATCGCTGAATTACGTCATTAACGTCATCATCTTCAAGATCCAAGGATGATCTGAATAATTTCCCGCGGATAAGAAAGGTATGCACGCTTGATTTCTGTCAACTGATCAATAATCATATCGTACAAAGTCCGATATCGTCAAGATAAGGGATCTCCAGACGGATCCGATAGCCCGACGACTTATATATAATGCTTGCGGTCATTTTTTTAAATAGTAATTCGCGCGGTTACCTTATCTGCGTACCTACAACTCGACTTACGTCAAATGAATTGTAATTAGTGCGATATACATATATAAGAGCCTCGCGAACGCAAATTACCTGCGAGTATCGAGTAGACGAGTTGACGTTGCAGAAACACCATCGACATTCGTGTTATTTGCATCGATAATAATTTTCGCGACCAGTGATAACAACACAGTGGCAGAGGTCTTGTTGACCTCCTTCTGAGAAGGCTAACTAAATCGACTATATTTTCTATTTTCCGCAGAAAAATGAAGCTCGTAGTGCTCGGGTTTATCTTGATCTGTACTCTTGCCTCGTCAATTAAGATGGACGGTCATCGTAAGTTGATATCTACGTATTTCGCTTCCAGTTCTCTCTCTGGAGTATCTCTCTCTCTCTCTTTCTCTCTCTCTCTCTCTCTCTCTCTCTCTCTTGCTGTATCTCTGGAAATATATCTCGTTTATACCATCCTTTACCCTTGTGCCATTTATCTTTCAACGATATACTCCTTTCAGTCTACTTTAATTTTTGATCATCTTATTCTTTAGTTATCTCTGCTCTCGAGCACGTGTTTTTGATAGAGATGATTTAGATGAGAGAGCTACGGAGTGTTCCAAAGTTAAATAATCAAAAAAACATGCCAGTACATTTTGTATAAAAATATATTTATATATCAAAACATTGGTAGGAGAACGTTTTATTAAAAAAAGAAAATATGTTTGTTTAATTTTTCAAAATATCGTCCTTTTTTTTTTGCAAACTTAACATCGTTGAAAAATTGAATCTAACATTTTATGAATTTCACGTCCATTTTGCTTTAATCTGAATGAATACCAAACTAATCTTCTTTTAATCTTATCACAAATTGACTCTTGTCAATCATATACTTTAGCTTTTTTTCAGCTTCTTATAAGTAAAAATCAATTTATGATAAGCGATAACTAAAATATTTTCATATGAAAATATATCATTATATAAATAAGTAGCGTCAATTTATTTTTATTAAATAGTCAATATATCAATAATATTAAATATATTAAATATATCAATATTATGATACCTTCATGTATAATATTTTTATTATAATTTTTAAATTAATTTTTAAATTAATTTTAAATTAATTTAAAAATTTAAATTAAATTTTTTAATTAATTTTAAATTAATATTTAAAATTTGTTTTCTTGTTTTGTACCTATAGAATATATTGGTAAAATTTGATCGTTTAATTTTGGAACATCCTATATATACAAAGTAATATGTGTAGAGATCTATTAGATCTATGTTGTCTTGTTTATAATGTCTTTAATTCCGGATACCGCATTCTGTCATCGTTTACATTGTAATTTTGTCTCAACTGGATATCTGCTTTCAAAATTCTCTTCTACTTCTTAAAATAAAATATAAAATCACTTCGCAAAATTACACATCGCCTTCTTTCATACTCTTTACATTATTTCTTTTATTTTAGGCTATAATTAAAATATAGTCTAATTATAATATAAAATGTAGATATAGTATTAGACACAGAAATATCTCTTACTAGATATGGCATGTTATATATTTAGAATATAAATATAATATTAGATGTAATATATTTTATTATATATTTTATCATTATTACTATTGTATTTACCATTATTATGTCTTTGTGATTTAGCAGAGCAGTCATGTTGGTCGTACGTCATACCGATACTACTGTCGTTGCATTTCCTTTATTATGCGTTTCCCAGCTTATGTATTTGTTATTATGTTATTGTTCATTACCCATATCGTAAGTTCAGTATCGTTTTACGTTTGATTTTAATTATTGCGCTAATCATATATCGCGTAAACTTTTTTGAACTCACTTTTTTTTATAGACGAGGGATATAAAAATATACTTGAAGATTTCCTCGAAAAATTCAAGACCATAATGCGCACCGGAAACGACACGCTTGGACTTCCAGTCCTCGATCCATTCACCTTGGATCAATTACCGATCGCGATTGATGAAGAAACAATGAAGTGCATATTGATTTGAGTTTTTTTTATATCTAAGTGATACGTTGACCGGCAATGCTTTAAATTAATATACGTCTCCAGAAAAAAATATTCTTGCAGTTACAGATTTTTAATTAATATATTTTATCTTATATATCGCTATTAAATTTAATGTCGCGTTATTATAATACATAAATTATATACAATTTCTAGCAAGAAAGAGGAAAGGAAAAAGATATTGCTTAAGAGATATTTCGATTTTATCAGATAATAAGTAGATTAATTTAACGTGTTGGTCAACGATATTTCATCATTAACTATTATAATAAATGAAATTACAAAATTCATTTAATGACTGATAATTTCTTATGTTTCCGGCATATCACCTTTAGATTGGACGCTCTTTTATCAAATGTTCAAGTAAATGCTCTGTCTGGATACGATGTCAACAAGGGTGATCTCCAAATAATTGGTCTGAAACTCATTGTAAACGTTTCTTGGCCATTGATAGCCGCAAGTACAAATTACGCCATGAAGGGTAAAGTCGAGAACTTTGAAATTTATGGCAATGGCGAGATGAAGTGAGTATCGACGGATATTTCTTTGAAATCGATGTCATTTCAACGCAATAAAAAAAAATCTAGTTTTCGATTTAAACACATACGAAAAAGATTTCACCCTCCTATAAGTTTATGTATTCATTAATATGTACATTAACATGTATATAAAAAACATAGGAAGATTATTTAAACTAAATCTGAATTTTAACAAAATTATGCCAGTTTTAATAGTAATTTATTAATTAATTATAGTAATTTTAATCGCAGTAATTTTAATCATATATGCATATTTATATCTCGCAACTATAATATTTTATTAGAATAATAACTAATATATAATATTATTATAATCATAAAATCATATTTATTATTCCACAAATATTTATTACCATATGACATTATTACTATTATTGCTGATTCTTTCTCGTTCGTGGAGAACCCTTATGTCTTCCATTTTGTTTCATTTATATTTAAATACAATGCATGAAACATATCCGCGTGAAGCAAAAAAAAAAACGAGAACTAATACGTTTGATAATGAATCAGCTGTTTTTCATTGAGTGCTTTCCTGATGTTATCAAATAATGTCAACTGCGACAAAGCGCGTTATTAAATCGTAACTGAATTTATACATGCTTCACGTGAAACACGCAATCGCATCGTTTTTTTTCTTCCTACGGTGGTCAAATCGGTTTTAGGAAACGCGAAATCCAATTGTGGAATGCAAATTATCCATTTCTATTTAAGACAATCTACCTCTCAATGTCATTTAATATTAATATCTATATTTTCATATCAAAATACAAACGATAAATTTATATTTAAACACGTTTTCTTTGCACGCATAAAAGGAGGAAACAAAATTGAACGAACTGGTCAAGGTAGAAATATTTCTAAACCTTAAAATAAATAATATTTCATAGTTAAATATTGTATTTTTTAAAATAATTAAATTTCCATTTTCCTAATTATAAGTAGACGTCTTATCAATATTGATTTAAAAATTCAGGTCATGAGAGATTAAGGGATATATGTATATATTCAATTTCCAGAATATCTCCACAAGGCTTTTCTCTCGACACGGAAATTAGTTTCACAATGAACGGCAAATATCTTAAAATAAAGGACATGAAATTGAACATTTTCTTGAGAGCGCTTGATGTAAGTAACTGTCAATTCTTTTCCTTCTCTTTTCTTGATTTTAATCCTCAAAACTCGGAAATGGAGCAAATATTAAATCGTTGCACATGAAATATCGATTTCGCGCGTGCGTTAGTAATTTTTTAATAATTATTAAGAAAAAAAACAAAAAATATACACAATTAAAAACAAATCTTCAAATTTCAATGTTTTTCATATTTTGTATAAATGAAAAAAATATTGTACTCTCTCGTTTCGAGGAAATATACATATAAGTTAAGGATGGAAAAAAGGAATAAAAATCACAAAAATATTTTTTCAACTTCATATTCCAGATATTAAATTTTTCTATACTGCAAATATTCATTTTCTTCTCTTTTGCATTGATATCATCCTATAAAGAGTATATTACAAATTTTTTTACAATTTTAATATCATGGAATAATGTTACATGAATTTGTTATTGAAAAGTCACGAAAAAAGTTATTTTTAAATTCAGTCACCATGATTCATTACCACCTCGCAAAATATATTTTCAAAAATATTGATCTCATTTACACAAATACATTTACAAAAAATTCCCGAGAAAAAGGGAGCCTCATAATTAAAGATAATTATTACCAGGTTTTTAAAAAATAGCACTTTTTAAATTGCAATTAATTATTTATATTTTTATATGCTAAACAAGCAGTGCAGTAGAATAGATAATATATGCTATAAAAAATAAAATAGGAAAGGAAAAGAAGCAATTTTTCGTGATTTTTCAAAAAGAATTGAGAGAGATCAACACGATTCAAATCATACAATTGAATCAACATGAATCAACATCTTTGAGAAATTTATTGTAATTGACAATTTGCAAATACTTCACAAAGTCTGAAACATATCTATGTGTGTGTGTATGTTCCATCACAGAGTAAAAACTATCAAAATATGAAGTTTCGTATGCAACGATTCAATAGAAAAATCGACTCAAGTCATTTATATAATTTTTAAATAATTCTTCTATTTCTCAACCATTATTTTTCTCGATTCAAATTAATTTTTTGTTATTATTCACTTTTGCTGCTTTTAATTTTTTTAAAGAAGATTAATCCCTTTTCTCATTTGCAGTTTCACGCGACAGGACTTTTCGATGATAACGATCTGTCCGAACTTATAAGCAGCCTGCTCTCCGACATGGTGCCTGAGTTGATCGAAAATTATCATGACACAATTGTGAGCACAATTATTCCTATCGTCGTGGACAAAGGCAATGAGTTTCTATCTACTAAGACATTAGCGGAGCTAATGGCACTATTAGGTCTTTAGTCTTTTCGTCATGTGTATATCGATCCAATCGTCATTCGATCAATCATTTATACAGTCGCGTTACTTGATCGATTAGGCAGTGAAATGTATGATAATGTGTATAAATAGTATATACCTTAATAAGAAATAAAAATGTATATTTATTTTGAAAATTTATATATTTTTTTAAACAAGAGAATAATTATTAAAATTGTTAATAAAGTTAATATAATTATTAATGTAATCGTTAATAAAAAACCTAGTGAGAGATTTTTGTCTTTTATTGTAATTTTTTTTCCACTCTTTGCCATACGATATATTATTAGAAATTTAAAAAAAACATGTCTTGTAATGTATATATAAAAAAAAGTGTGGAAAAAAAGTATATATTATATATACACTTTTATTACCTATAGTACACTAATTTTACACAAAATTATTTTAATTCTTTTTATTTTTTACAAAATTATTCTATTTTTTCTTATTTTTTACAAAATTATTCTATTTTTTTCTTATTTTTCTTATTTTTCTTATTTTCGTATTTTTTACAATATTATTCTAGGAAAACACGAATGTGCACATATTTTCTTACTCACCGTATATTAAAGAATGAGTTTTAGATAGTTTTGAGGTACATTCTACGTGCATTAATTTTGAAAATCTTGATAACATGATAAACTGCGTTTGCATATAAGATCCTCGCGACAGTCGAGATGATACTAATTGCAAGCGAGACAATATTTTGAAGAATATGTAGATCATACGGTAAAGGGAAGAGGAAGAGTGGGGTTAGCGAGCGAGGTCGCGCTTTGTCTATAATATATTGTAAACAGTAGGGCTCGTTTGTGTATCCTCTGTCTCTTACGTTGCATATACGATGTTTTACGTATTTCAAGATATTTTCTCACTTTATTACCATGAAAGTTTTATATTATTTCAATTATTAAAATTAAAGTTAAAAAAGCTTATAAATTATTGATTGATCTAGTTTATTTTATGCAAACAAATAATGTTGTAAATAAAATCTATGAATATATTTTTATTTATTTTTTTTTATTATTTTTATTTATTTATTTTTATTTATTAAGAAATAAAGAGAGAGAAAAAGATAATTATAAAAAGACGATTAGTAAATTGTCAATCTAAATAAATTTACTAATCTTTAATTTATTAATTAAATATAATTAAATTAAATTATTAATGAAATTAAATTAAATTAATTAAATTTACTAATCTTTTTACTAATTTATTAATCGTTTATGAATCTCGATATATAAACTAATGATTTCTCTTTCACCATTTTTTTTTTTTTCGATAAGAGTCATTTTTTATTATCAAAATTCTGAATTTTTTACGAAGACTCGAAAATCCGATTTTTTTTAAATCTATGCAAGTGCGTCAAATATTAAAAAATCTCTCTTTTTCTCTCTGTCCCTCTTAGATAAATACAAAAATTATTAAAAACATTACTAGATAAAAAAATAATCAATGATAATATAACAAAGATATAAGATATTTTTTACTGGATATATTATACGCGATTTATGACTACATTAAATTCTTAAATTATTATACCTTACAACATTTCTACATTACTCCAATTAATTGCGTTATGCAAGGTCCTCCTATAATCTAATCTGATTGTTGCGATAAGATGCGGGACTCGCGATGACACTAAACAACATCAAATAAACAAAATGATTTCAAAACAATTTCGAAACAAAATTCCTTGAAATTATATTATTACACTCAATTAATCTCTGTAAAATCGTGATCAAGTCATCAGGAGACTTTTGTCAAGTCAGTTTCAAAATCGCAATCAGTCCGTCACAATTTTTTACACGAAAATGAGAAAGGATAAATCGTCCGCGCGTGTCTCCATCTAATTTTCCGGGATCAGATCCCTTTGTCGAATTGAAGGATAAAATCGAATGTATGTGATAGATAAGAGATCTTAATATTAGGTGGATTCCGATATCGAAATGATATATAAACCAATTCCTATAAATATGTCCACATTCTTTTCGAGTCGTAGTTTCGTTCGCATCATTTCCTTAATTAACACACAGCCCGATTTGTATCATCAACGCTCAACAAGGATTTGTACGTATTATAATTATTATAATACATAAATCATTTTAATGTTCGCGAGCATAAGTACCATAGATATTATTAAATATCTCGAATATGCATCGATATACGCGACACAATAAATTTACAGTAAATTTATTCATTTTTCTCTCAAGCATTTACGTCTCACTTGCGAATATTAAATTTTTCTTAATTCTAATTAAACTCGGAAATTCCTAATCTTGATGTCCTCGGAAAATTCATTAACTTTAAGAATGCAATATCTCGAGGGAAAGAGACTATTTTCTATTTTGCGTGTTCTACTTTTACTATTTGTGCAGAGAAATGAAGTACATAGCGTTTGGGCTTATTCTGATCTGTTGTCTTGCTCAAGCAATTGAAACGAATGGATATCGTAAGTGAATATCAATATTTCTTTTCTCACTCCTCTTTTGTGTTCCAGTAAATCTTTCTTCCCGAAAAATATATTGAATAGTATCTTTCCAAAGATACGTCATATTCTTTTACATTTATTTTTTTTTGCATTATTATCTTTAATTTATATCTTTAAGTTGACTTTGGTTTTATTTGACTTCATTATTTTATTTTTAGTTATCTTTTTTTGACTTATTTTCTTCACAAGACATTCAGTAATTTTGAATAATTTTAATAAATTTTTTAAATAAATACATACAGAGTAATTTTGAATAGTTCTATTTATAAATATTTTATAAATATTTATAAATATTTTATAAATATTTATAAATATTTTTAATTTATTCTTTAATATCAATTACCGATTCTACAGATTTTTCAGTTTATTTTTCGCGTAATTTCGTGTAAAATATTTTTGGATAATTTTGAAGAAATTTATTATATTTTTCTAGAACATTTTTCGTAAATATTTTTGGAAATTATATTTTTTTAACTACAAAATTATTATTTTTGTGTTTACAGATATATTTACAAAACATGTTACATTGGAGAAGTTAGTTGAACAAGTTAAGAATGTATTAAAGACTGGAAACGAGCAACTTGGAATTCCGGTTGTCGATCCATTTATCGTGGAGCGAACACAGTTCAAAATAGAACAAAAAGAAATAAAGTGCGTGCTGATTTAATTTTTTCAATTAAATGATATTTATACATTCGGTGTAAAAAAAATAAAATCATATTTATTAATAATTAGGAATTTGGCTCAAATAAATAAATAAAAATAAAATCATATTTACATACATTATAATGATCTAATCGTAGATCGTCATCAATTTTCCTGTTTATCATAGATTAGAATCTTAGAATTTTCGATTCTCATTTATCTTGCTGCTAATAAGAGTATTTTCTTTACGCTATATTTTTTGCTAATTATCATAAAGTAATTTAATATCTCAATAAGATCGCGTTGAAACAATAGCAAATTTTGATTATAGTAATCTACAATATTTTATGTTTCTCCGATACTTTTTCAGCTTGAATGTGCTTTTGACGAATGTCAACGTGTCTGGTTTATCAGAGTTCAAAGTCTTGGACGGAGATATCCAATTGATTCCAACTGACCTGAAGTTCAATATAAATCTTACTTGGCCGTTGATAATCGGGAGCACTAATTACAAGACAACAGGCTATATCGACGCTTATTCATTTTACGGAGATAGTGATATAAAGTGAATATTTGTTCTTTTTTTTTCTTTCGAGAATCGAATGCATAATTTCGGCAAATTCAATTTAAGTATACGTTCTTTCACAGATACATTTTTTATTTATCTTATTTATTCCTTTTTTTATATAACGATTTTTTACATTTAGTATTTTAATAAGTCTTTCTATCAATTCTCTGATTCAAAAATAAACATAAAGGCCATGAAAATTTGAAGCTAAAAATGTATTTTATGTATTCTATTTTCAGCCTGTCTGCGCAGAATTTCACTTTGGAAACGGAAATTACTTTCACAGTAAGCGAAAAACATCTCAAAGTGAAAAATATGGAATTGAAGCTTTCTCTGAAAAAGCTAGATGTAAGTATAATTCTATAAAATTCAAACTCTTGGACGTTTTGTACGCGATATGATTCGAGAAACTATTGATGAATAATTTATTCAACAATTACAAATGCTAATAGATACTAATGCTTTCGTTTACTTGCTTTTTTCTTATTTTCAATTAATTTTTCTCATTATTCGCAGTTTCGTATAACAGACCTTCAGATATTTTACAATTACGAGGCCATTTTATCGAATGGCCTAGTGAATGAATTGATATCTGAGATGGCACCTGAGTGGTTAGAAGATGAGACATTTATAGACAATTTGAAACTTTTTGCGATAAAAAAAATTGATGCTTTTCTCTCTATTAAAACGGCCACGGAAATATTGGAATTTTTAGAAACAATATAAAGGATAGCGTCTTCTCATCGGTGTTGTATTTATGTATTTAAATTTAAAAAAGTTTGATGAATTAATTATATAATACAATGCAATAATTAATTTTAAGAAATTAGTTAGTCCACTTCGATTCTTGAAATAAAGATTTTGTTCATAGCATACTTGAGAGATTCACATCAATGCATAATTTATAAAGTTATCTTATTAAATCGATTTTTTTGCTATCTTTAATTATTTTGCATTCACTTTTAAATGCCTCTCATAATTTGTTCGAAAAATCGAAAAAAATGCTGTGCTTAAATAAATTTAGAATAAATTAAGTCATTAAGTTCAATTTTTTCATCGGATATTTCGGAATTAATAAAATTTTATATGTAATAAAATATTAATATCAATATTATATAAATAAATTTATGTTATACTAGTTCTAGAGATTTATAAATTAAACTAAATAAATCTTCAACATTCAAGTATATATTTGTAATCCTTTCTGTACAAATTCCTTTATTTTTAGATATGAGATGTGATATAAAAGATTGATTATTATTAAAAGTCTAAAATTTAATTAATTCTTATAAAAGAAATTCCGAGAATTCATAGCTGAATATTCGAAAAAAAAAACTTATCCGCTTTATTGTAAAAGAATAAACGCACTGCCAATACGTTTTTGATGCTAATTTCACAGATTATAAATTGCGATTACCCGATACGTTAATCTCCCGATAATAGCGCTCCCCATTATTAAACATATTAAATCTTTGTCCACGATATAATTAATTATTATCGCGTCTGCAACAAGTGTTTGTAAGCGCAGATTTATTGCAAACAAATGCAATTTTTATGCTAAAAAGCATAATATTTTTTAACATTATAATATTTTTATTTGCCGACCGCAAAGAGCTAAAATGACTTATTAAATTTGACAGATAATTAATACGGCTGGATGAGTGTAAAGACACAATCCTCGACTTATGTTTGTTAGATAGAAAATCTTTGTTAGATAGAAAGTCATCGAGTGAAAGTATCTATAATTTCTTTTGATTTTTCCGCAAATAAATCGAGAAAAAAAAAGAAACAGCTCTACATAAAAGAACTGTTGAGCAATATAGTTGCGATTATATGAATATTCAGTTTAGTCCGCGATTATCCGTGTAACTCAATGTTTAATTGGCCAAACACACCCTATAATATTATAAATTTACACGTATGGAATAACGAAAAAAAATATATATATATTTTTCCATCACAAATATATTTTTTTGTAATCATATTCTGTATTTTTTTCCTGACATTCTATATTTTTTTCTACTTTTACAACAATTTTCATAGGAGCAATAAGTTCATCGAACTGCTCGCGATGAGTAATGAAGAAGCAATAATTTACTAAAGTAAGCAATAATATTTACCAAACAAATATAAACAGTAAATTTACTTACCGACACAACTGTAGTACTGCTGTTGTATTGCCAGTAGATTGCAGTTGCATTTCTGTCGCGTTGAACCACTTCTAGTTCCTGGACATTAAATTAAAACGTTATTAATGTCATATTAAATTAGAGAATTTTGCTACATATTCTTTAAAAAAGGAAAAATCATATTTACAATTAAATTTTTGTATACTTTGAGTAAAAAAAAATAAATATATAAATCTAAATTTTTAAATGTATAATATTTAATATTATAATTTAATATTTTATTTTATTTAATATTAGATATTTAATTATTTATTATTAATATTAATTTATTAATTTTATTTTAAATTATTAAATTATTATTAATATTAATTTATTATTAATATTTAATTTAATGTTTAATATTTAATTTTCTATTAGTATTAATATTTTTATTAAATTAATCGTCTCTTATGTGCTTTCTTTCCCAATATTTAATGTAAAATATGTATATGTTCTAAGATGACATAATATTATCGCATCATCGATATATTTAAGTATTTACATGATAACGAAAATCAATATAAATAGATGTTATACGTTTACTCTTAAAAACAAACTACATATTTTTTATTTATTCTTACGCAGTTAACCTTAAATCAACTCGGACGCGATTCTTATGATATATAATAAAAAATAATATTGTGCGACGATATAAATTATGATTGCAAAGTTGATTACAATTCTTTCCGATTAATCGATTCGTTTTTTCTTCGATATATATTACTTACAATCTGTCCAGGATATATCTTCAGCACAAGCTTCCTGAGCACAAATAACCGCGCTTAATTACGTTAACAAAGAACGAGGAAACGATTAAATCTTCGTCACTTCCGGTCACGTCAAAATACCGCGATTCGATTCCGAGATTCCTTGTGTCACGAATTAAATATGGCTCTCGCTCATTGGTGCCAACTTTGACATGCGAGTCAGTTATTTGAAGCGCCAAATTTCTACTAAACTTGACATTTTGAATCAAATCGAGAGAAGTATTTAATTTAATTTAAAGCAAATTTATAATAAAGAAAATATTTAAAGCAAATTTATAATAAAGAAAATATTTCCATCAATCGAAAGTTTTATCGAATATAAATCTGATAAATTAAGGAAGAATATCAAATATTATCTAAAATGTTAAATAATTTTTACTTACCAAAACAAAGTTATATTCGGATGATGATTGATATTTGACGTCGTCGATATTTTTAGAAATTATTTCGATGCCAGTGAAAATCACGAAAATTCAATCACAATTCTGTCACAATAATCAAGACAGTATTATTATTTCACGAGATTCCTTGCGCTACGCGTATTAAATTTGACACTTTGAATAACATATGATAGACGACACTTGCTTATAAGAGTCTAATCCTCGCGACCGTCGAAACGATACTAACTGTAGGCGAGAAAATTTATTTTGAGGAATGTGAAGGACACGCGCGCGAGAAGGAAGAGGGGGAGATCGCGCTTTGTTTATAAAACGTTGTACGATGGCTCGTTACCCCCTCCCTTCTACTTTGCGTTTTAAGGTGCGTATTTCAAGGTATATTTTCTCCTTATATTATTTCAATTATCGCGAGTATTAGAGTTCCGAAATTCCCATACACGTTATATTCTTTGATTAATATATTTTATTTTTAATTTTCTCTTCATTTTTGGACATTCTAAATATTTGTCAAAATCGAATTCGCGAGTTTTGGTAATAAAAAATTATTCTGATTGAGGAGAAAAGTTGTTCATAAAACATTGTAAACAATAAGACTCGATTGTGTATTTTCCCTCTCTCTCTTTCTCTCTCTTACCTTGAATATGGCATTTCGCAGTTTGAGATATATTTTTTCGCTTTGTATTACTTGAGTCATCGTTAAAGCCATCTTTTCGCGATTCTATAATATTATCAATTTTATATTAAATATTATAACGCGTTTGATAAAATTGTTTCCACGCACAAACCTATACTCACTCGTGGCTTAGAACAGTACAGTGCCACAGTCGGAAGTGCCATATTTAAATCACGAGTATGTAAGGAATCGGATCACCGCGCGGTGAACCGGAAGTGACGAGTCAATAATTAACTCTCGCGCTCATTTCAACAGCATATTTCCTTAATTTTGCGAGTGAATAAATATCGAAAAAACATGTCGAAATATATTATTATATATATTATCAGTTATTGGGAATTTATTTTCTATAATAAAAATTTATTTTCTATAATAAAAATATCCCAGCAAACACCAAATAACAGTTATATAACTGTTATGTAGTTAAATAACAATTATATAACTGTTGCATAACATGTAACAATTATATTATTGATTGGGAAATTACAACTAATAATTATATAAATATAAAATTTTTAATTAAATTAACATAAAGATATAAAGATTTTAATTAATATAAGAAATATAAAGATTTTAAATTAATTTAATATAAAGATACAAAGATTTCAATTAAAAAATATAAAAAATATAAAGATTTTAAATTAATTTTAAATAAATACAGGGTGTTTCAGATCATCCGTATCACCCATTTAAAAACTAGAGAAATGGTTATTTCAAAAAAGTAAAAACATTTTCTTTATAAATCGGATGTACTCTATCGAATTAAAATTACATATTTTTTCTTAGAAACAACTATGTGTTTTCTTTACACCAATTTGCAATTAACAATTCCATATTTTTTCTTAAAAATAACTGTATGTTTTCTTTACATCAATTGATTTTTCTCATTATTTTTACATAAAAGTATTAAGGTAAGATAATCGAAAAATGAATATTTTACAAGATATTTTATGATTTATGTAAAATTAAGAAATGATTTCAAGTCTCATAACTCGAAAAGTACTTCATGGAAAAATAATTTATTATAATATTTTGGAAAGCTCTCAAGGTAAGCTACAAGAATATGCAATGAGAAATAGGGGATTCCATTTAAAAAAATGCACTTCCGGTCTGAATCGCCTATTTCCGGCCGGAATCAGAAGTTGAAAATATCACCATTCGATAGAGCGCAGCCGATTTATAAAGAGCGCAGCCGATTTATAAAGAAAATGTTTTTACTTTTTTGAAATAACCACTTCTCTAAATTTTAAATTGGCGGTACAAATGGTCTGAAACACCCTGTATAATATAATAAATAAAATTATTAAATAAATATGAAAGAGTCGATCGAATTTCTCCGCGAAATAGGAATCTGACTTATCGACGGCGGCCGAGTGACAGTCGGTCCCTTCTTTAAGGACGGAGCGTGAGCGATCGGGCGGGCATTAGTCAGTCAATGCGGATGACAAATCTGTCGCGATCTGTCCACGGTGCTCCGGATTATCGTTATCGCAACGCATCGGACGCGGCTCTTCCTGCCAGGCGTAGCAATCATGATCCTGCTAGAGATACACAACAGGATACTCGAGGAAACGTTGACGAACAAAATCAAGCACGTCTTGTCGGGGTGAGGACCTCGCGTGCGAGCGCGATTCCCTTCCTTTTCCCCTCCTGGGGGAGATCCTTTAGGGATCCGTCTTATCTCCTCGTATAACCTCCTTCTGGAAAATGTGGCGCCAGGGCGGTGTCTTCCGCCGTTATTCGTCTCCCCTTGTGTCTGAGCAATTTGTCGGACCTAGACCGCCGCCCCTTCTAGTGGCATTACTTTTTAATCACGTCGGATCACGCCTTGTCCCACTTCTCTCCTTCCAAGTCCCATCCCAGGATGTAACTTTTTTCAGCTTTAATTAATTGTAATTTTCACCCGTTAGAGATGTCGAGGTTTCACCTAGTCAATGGTCTTACGATTAGCTTCTTGTGACACTATGCGTTTTGTTTGCAGACACAAGCCAGAGTCGACGGATGTTGTCATAGCGGACTTTGACGGAGTCTTGTTTCACATTTCAAACCTCAGCGGAGACAAATCGAAGCTTAGAGTAAGCAAGTGCTCTCTGCGAGCATTTCTTGTAGTATTTTTATTAATTTATGAATTTATTTTATGGATTCGATTGGATTTTTTAATTTTACGGACTCTTTTTTTCCACAGATAAGTATTCTGCTCAAATTTTATAAACAGTTGCAAGAGTATGGCGCGGATGAGTTGCTCAAACGAGAGTATGGATCCCATCTCATTGCGCCAGAGAGCGGTAGATATCTGTTTCGTGCAAACTTTTACACTTAGGAATAAGAGAGTTGGATGAAATAATTGAATTCATCTATTGTTTCTACAGGTTACAATGTATCGGTGTTCATAGATTTAGAAAAGTTACCAGAAGATTGGGAGGCACTAGTGAGGAAAGTTGCCCTGTTGAAGAGACATTGCTTTGCCAGTGTCTTTGAGAAGTACTTTGATTTTCAGGAGGAATATTGCGATTCTCCGGGTAGGCCACTACAGAAGAGGGCTGTCATCCACTATCGAGATGAGGAAACAATGTAAGAAAGAAGATTTTTTAAAGAATTTATAGGATTCTTATTGTTACCATCATTATTAACTGTCTTGTTAATTCTAATCAAGGTATGTAGAAGCCAAAAGCGATAGAGTGACAGTGGTATTTAGCACAATATTTAAGGATGAGGATGACATGGTCATTGGCAAACTGTTTCTTCAAGAATTGAAAGAGGGCAGACGGGCAAGTCATACCGCTCCACAAGTTTTATTCAATCATCGCGAGCCGCCGTTGGAATTACAAGATTCTGAAGCAGCAGTTGGGGATTGCATTGGCTATATCACGTTTGGTAACAAAGATTGATTTATATTTTTTAATCATTTTATTGAGTCACTTAATATTATTTATATTTAATCAATTTATCGAGTTGTCAATTTCATCCTAATGCATGTAATTCTCTCTTATTTATAAACAAAAATAAGTGACATACAGAATCTACTGTTAAAATTTAAAACTTATAAATTTAAATGTCAAGAATTTTAAGAATTTAAAGATTATTTTCATATATGAAGCTTTATAGTTTCTATTTTAAATAATTATTAGATCCTTAAGTTCTTTTTTTTGCTAATTTTCTGCTATGCTGATATTTCAGGATTGATGTGTATGGTTTTTGTAAAATTTTTTATAAAATTTTATCTTGCAGTGCTATTTCCACGTCACACTAATCGAGAAGCACGCGACAATACCATTGATCTGATACATATGTTTAGGAATTACTTGCACTATCATATTAAGTGCAGTAAGGTTTATATTCATTCAAGAATGCGTACTAAGACGACGGATTTCCTTAAGGTGCTGAACAGAGCGAGAGCTCAATCTAAGAACACTGAAAAGAAGACTATCACGTGAGTAACTAAATATTCAATGTTATAAAATAAAAGTAAAAATACATAAAAGTCACAGTTATGTGATTATAACATGGATTATTTAATTACATTATTACATATATAAGTGATTTAGTATCTTTTATATTACATAAAAATATTCTAAAATATTTAATAAATCCATAACATTCCTAATTAAAGATACATGTATTACATTAAACATTTGTTCCTTGGTTTATAATCATCTTTAAATTATAAAAGAAATCCTTCGCAATTTATTTATATAAACTTATCATTTTTTACAGAGGACGAACATTTATCAGGAAAGAATGAGTGTTCCGGAGGAGCGAAAGTGCTAATACTTCTTAAGGGGAAAGAGCAAAAGATTAGAGTGCGTGGTTAGAGTGCGGTCGGAAAGGTCCTGCAAACAAGATTTCCCGCGAAGGCATTCCTTGATTCGCGCGATATCGGCGAGTAAAGTGCTTCGGACCTTTGAGTTTTATTCTGTATCACGAACAGTGCCCTATATTTAGGAAAGACGTAGCGTCGCGTTAAGTGAATAAATGGAAGGGAAGAAGAATCACAGTTTGACGTCGGCTTAGTTAAGCCGACGACGCCTCAATTATCCAGAAAGAATATTCAAAGACGCTATTGTTACATCTGTGTACTGTGGATTAATGACAGTTAATGCTATTACGAATATTGCTCGTTATGCAAAACGTTTTGTCGATTTTTACAGTGTGATCTAGGATTGGAATACAATACCGCTGAAACTTGAAGAAATTTGGATTCCATTATATATTAAGCTGGTTGTTACATGAAACAATTTATTATATGTTACATTCTCAACTGCATTTGGCTCTTTGTCAACGAATACAATGAATGCACAGATTAGTGTTACAGTGAGATTCTTAAAAATGAAATCATGAGGTATCCTTAAGAAAAAAAAAAAAAAAAAAAAAAAACGTAAAATAATGTGTTTTAAATTTTCAATCTGTTGAATTTGTGCTTTATTTATCGTGAAATTTTTGGCAACATTATTTAACTCGTCAGGATTTAAACTATAAACTAAGAAAATTAGTAAGAGAAAAATGACAATTAACAATCTTACTTTTCACATTTCGCGCGTTTTAGCTCGGTTGTCGGGCAAACAAAAATATTGTTAATTTTCTTTTTTTCGATACTACTTTTACCGTCTACCTTATGACTATACATTCGAATTATTGTGAAAGATAATAAAACGACATTAACAATCTACAATGTTCTTCCACATCTAAGTATTGATCTATAATCAGTAAATGGCGTAAAATAGGGAGTGTCGGAACATGTCATTTAATTAAGCAACCACACCTTCAGCCTTCTGACACTGCCATGAGAATTTCTCCTTCAGTCAGAGGTTGTCTTGTTGAGAGTGAATATGCGTCGACACGTGCTCGACAATCCACTCGACAAAATAATTAATGTTTTTCATGTAATTAAATAAAAATTACAGATTACGAATTTCTAAGTCGTATACTTTTCGATACTGATATATTAGAAGGAATACTTAGATCCGAACTTGGTCGAAATTTCACTTGGAATCTTCGAAACTCGGATTTAAGCGCAATGGAAGAGACAACGTTACCGAATACTTTACCCTTCTCGGGCACCTCGTCCGTATCTCCCTGTTCATCCAACGAAATTTCTACCAAGATGGGGGACTGCGTCGAAAATGGGGTGGAACAATGGCTGGAGAACGACTTTTTAGGATTTCGCGTCTGGCAGCTCGTCGGGATTATTCTCTCCATTCTACTGAGCATCATCGTCGGATTGTGCTGTTGCATTCGTTTCCGCGTGCCCAGAACGAAGCAGGAGATCGAGGCAGATTACATTCGCAAGAGAATCACCAAGAATTTCCGCAACGAGCTTTCAAAGATCAGCAACACAGAAATGGACGAGATGGATCTGCAAAAAGGTAGCACAATTTCTGTTACAAGGATTGCAAATAATTATACAAAGACTCGGTATGAGATTTAATTAATCAAGAGGAAAGAAAAGGGAAGGTACATGTATAGAAAGAATAAATATCTAAATTTTAATAAATATCTAATTTAATTAAATATTTAAATATCTAATTTTTTTCAAGTGTAAGTTAAATATGAAAAAAATCAGGGAAAAAATATATTTAAGACAAAAAAATAAAAAATTATATTTGAAATTAATTAATTATAATTAAAAATTGTTTGATATCGATTAATTTATTATCAGGACACTTTTCTATGAAGAGATGAAGTTTATTTTATTTTAAAATAATGCATGCTCTCTGTAATTTGACTCATACACGCCTTTTTCTTTCATCTTGATGAATCTTGAAAACATTTTGAAATGGAAAGCTAAGTTCTCTTTTCATATTGCAGCTCTGGAAAGGATCCGAAGTGATTTCGAGGGTCACGAGTCTGTGATAACAAAGGAGTGCGTGGAAATGACGCAGCGAAATACCCATGGCTTTCGATCCAGATTCAACGCCGTATTCGGTGGAGCCCGTGTGCGTTTCAATCAACCCGAGCACACCAAATTGAATGCCACGATGGCTTTTTAGTGATAAAAAAATATTTCCTCTTCCTCCTAACAAGTATATTTCTACAATTTGCTTGTGGTACTTACAATTTTAGGGATATCGAGAGAAAAAGAATAACAAAAATAACAAATATAAAGCAAATTAATTTATATAAAACACCCTTTTTTAATTTCTTTTTCTTTTTTTTTCTCATATCAAAGCACGACGGGGGCTAATAAATTTATATAATACTTTCATTGACTAAATATAATCTTTATTTCATAGATATATTTTACACAAATTTATTTACTTTAGCATGCAACAGTGATCTATGTAGCAACGAATAGTAATGCTTCAGAAAGCACTCCACGGTGTGTTATAATAATATTCTTTTTCTATCGTGTTAACATTTTGCTATCAATTAAATTTTTTATATTGATTAATTATTTGTACTCTCTTTAACCGCGCTTATCGTACATCGATTGATCTTTTTTTTTTATTTTCTATATTTAGTAAAACTTGTTGAAACATAAATTTAATGATTAATCACAATTTATGAGATAAAAGACGAAAATTATTATTAAAATATAAAATTAACATAATTTTAAAAAATATAAAAAAAATATATAATGAAAAAAGTAAAACAAAAAATGATAAAGAAGATTACAATGTATAACGAAAATTGACATTAGTGTGAAATCAATCTTGAGATTTTTGGTCTCTCATTGACTTTATTGAATTATGATATTAAAACCAAAAAATGTGATTTTTTCTTCTTGATTTTAATGTCATAATCCAAGTCATTCTTCTTGATTTTAATGTCATAATCCAAGTCTTGATTTTCTTCTTGATTTTAACGTCATAATCAAGTCAGCGAGGTAAATAAAAAAATCTATTTAAATCTGTTCAAACAATATTATAATGATTTTATAATTACTTTACACATAAATTTATTTATTAAGATTAATTAAGATAAAAAACAAGAGGAGACTCTTCTTCTTAAAAAGATACGTAATAAGTTTTTATATTAATATTAAAGATAGGAGAAGAGAAAATATTTGACAAAGTAAAAGACAATGGCATGCGTTTATGAAAATGATTTATTAAAATCAGAAAAAAACATACACAAGAAACCGAATTGTTGCTTGAACCGATAATTTTGATGGTTCCACAGCAACGGCAATATATTTTTGCGTACGATTTCGTGTGAAAAAAGGAAAAAAGAAAAGAAATCAAGTTTATCGATTCGACGAACAAAGGACCGCAGCAAGAATTAGATTGCTAATCCAGATGTAAATTATAACAGTCGGAGTAACTCAATCGCGAGAGCTAGTTTATCATAAAAATTATTCTCGAGGGAGCGAAACAAGTACGTGCGTATGCGCAACCTGTCATCTCTTTTCATATATTTTATAAATAAGGAATCACTATATTAACTAACTGAACATAAAGTAGGAACAAAAGTGCTAAAAAAAAAGAAAATCTGATATCTTCCATTTTTATCGCGTCAATAACTGATAATGTTAAATCGATCTTATATTCCGCGACAATTTCGATGGATACGCCGATGTAATACTGTTTCTAAGTATGATCCAAGGAAGATTGACAAGACTGATCATCGCTCTCTTCTCGCGTATAATTTTCTATAACGCGATATTAATGATCTTAACAAAGTAGACAACAAAATCTGACCTCTCAATGGTACCTCGATAGATTCCTTTGTCTTAATAGAGAATTTAATTCGAGGATTGATAATCAAGATATTGAAAAATTTCCTTGTCTCTCTATGGACTTTAATCTCACATTTGAAAACTCCTCATTTTTTTTCCACGCTCTCGAGTACATGTCCCGAAAATTAAAAGATTAATAGCAATGTTCGCCTTTTACACTTTTGCCGAAGAAGAATCCAATTTATATTATATTCGAGATATTGTTAAATTCTTAAATTTTATATTTCCTTTCGTTCAAATCCTTACATTCTAGAATCTCCGAATGCTCGATTTAATTTTCAGAATCTCGCATTCTGCGAAATAGCCTGGATCCTTACACTCTACGATGTGTCGAAGTGTTTTCTTCTTAAGCTTTAAGATCTTTGAATCCTTACATTCTAGGATCTTAGATTCTAAGGTCTTTGGATCGTTAGGTGTTAGATTCTAGGAACTGTGGATTCTTAGGTTCTACGATCTTTAAATTCTTGAATTTTTTTGCGCCACTTATATAGATATTCTAAAATCTTGGAATATTTGTATATCTCTCGTAGAAAAAAAAAAGAAACGTGTGAGCGCTGATACAATACTTGAGTCGTATATTTCAATATGTATTTAAATGAATATCAAGTGAAATTTCAATTTAGAAGCAGAAAATGTATGATATCTTAAAAGCGCGTCGTATAAGAGAGGAACTTCGATCGACTAGAGGATCTGTAACGACACGCCAACAAAAAAACGTTTCATACAAAAATATAATAAACACACAAAGTCGGTATATTTTCTTCTTCCGCGGGAGAAAAATTCGAAAGATTTGGAATATTGTTACAAATGTTACAGCGCTCTTGTGGAAAGGCAAATTTTAAAACCCAAAACTGAATAATTTAGATCTTAATATACACTATGCAATTCACATTTTAAACATTTAGCATCACGAAGCCGAACTTCGTGACAGTTTGTGAACGAAAACTCATCCGAAAGCCGTCTCAAAAAAAACGCCATCCATTTTAAAAATGCATTATTTATCATGCATTATTACTGTGGCATGTATTTTTTTTTTTTTGCTTTTTCGACAGTAGGACCTTCGGAAAGTTACAACTAATGCGCGCGCGCGCGAATGTCTATAGATGGATTTACGAGATGATAACTTCCTCGGGATTTCTTTAATCGCTGAAGATTGGCCCGAAGTGATATAGAAATAGAGATAGAGAGATACAAGCAAAGAAAGATAGAGAGAGAGAGAGAAAGAGAAAGAGAGCTCGCTACGAGGTAAGAGAGGCGTGTCTCTTGATAAAACGAGTCGGAGTGATGTCGCGACGCACAACGTCGGCGGCGACGACGGTGGGCGTCTACGCGTGCCTTCACGAGATCTTGTTCCGCCACCACGAGAACTTCATCTTCGGGCTGAGATACTGGAAACTGATGACCGAGTGCGGGATCAGGGCGAATATCGGTAGGAAGCTGCCGCAACTGCGGCTCTTGGGCTCCTCGTCGCTCTCCGTCGTCGTTTTGCTGGGAACGGTGGTGGTAGTCGTCGTCGTGGTCGTCGCCGCTGGCGTGGAATAGGGGTACGGGGTCGACAGCGGATTGCACGTGATATGGATGTCCTCGAGATTCCACTTGTTCTCGCTCCTCGCGTCCGTCTCTCTCTCCGCGAGGCTCCTCCTCTTCTGTTTCTTCTCCTGGGCAGCGGCGCTTGCGTATCGCACGACGCCCTTCTTCTCGAAAACGCTGCCACCGATGATCTCGCAGTTGAGAGACGGGTTCCTGAGGGACGTTTTACGGTAAACCTTGGATCGCGAAGTCTTGGTCGTCGTCGTCGTCGTCGTCAGCGTCGTTGCCGTTGTCATCAGCTGCGGCAACGATGCCGATCGAACTGCATCTGCGCTACTTCCACCTCTCGGAATCGTACTGGAGACGTTGCGATCCGGAGAAGCGGATGTCTGCGAGGGAGGGGAATACTCTTCGCCTTCGCTCCTCGGGATCGTCGCGCTCACATCGCTGTCACGACGATCGCAAGGTGCGAGGCGAAGAGGAACGGAGATTTCGCGCGCTTCATTGGTCCCGGGTTGCGGGACGAATGAAGCGTCCTTGAACCCTCAGCTCGGGAAGCGCGAGAAGAAGGCGCAAGTCAAATCGTAATTCGGGAAGCGACAATATTGCACGCCTGTGCGCAACCAATCGCCAGAACGGTTTAGATAGTCGGATCGCTCCTCGAGGTCACGCGGACAATTGGCCGCCGCGGATTGCTTGTTGGCGAAGATGGTCACGACGAATTTCCCGGGCTTGAAGGTATTCAGCACGCGACGAATTATCTCGTCGTACGACGTCTCCGAGACGTTGCACTCGAATGACACGTAGGAGAACTCGGGCTCCGGCGTGATGTGGATCGTCATGTAGCTGCCCTGAAGAGAAATCGAAAAGATTAGTATTATTTTGGCGTATCCTAATGAATATTGATAATTAAAGCTCCCTTATCGCGACATTAGAACCATTAGATTGTATGAATTTTCTGCAATTTGATATTGAATATGAGGCAAATTTATAGGAGATTCTTTCAAAAAGTTATTTATAAATCATGAGTCAAAATAAATCTCGATTAATTATTAATGTATAAAAAATGATGAAAAAATCATTGAAAAAAGATCTTACATTTGTACCATCAAATGCAAATAATAGCATGAAGGAAAAACTAATTTATTTTAATATACATAATATTTTAATATTCAATATTTTTTAATATTTAATTATTTTAATATACATAATAAATAAAACTTTTCGTTTGTGATGTCATGCAAGGAAGAAGCTTTAATTAGAACAGCAAGAGAGAAGGAATGATGCTATATATAAAACATTATTTATATATATTTTATAAGAGGCATTTTTTTCCTTATTTATATTTATTTTCAAGCTCGACTTACATTCTTAGACACGCCGTTCATAGAGTATCCGCATGGCTCGAACAAGAAGTCGTCTATAATCATGTTGGGAATGAGCTTATCGATCCCAGACTTTACTGTCGCCTCGTCAGCAGACGAGCAAACATCCCTAGTAAAGATTGACATTACATCAGGATCCAGCTGGGTCATGAGTATCTCCAGGGTCTGATCGGGCTCTGGCGGATCTTGCAGAGGCTTATCGCGGATAAGAGTGTAGAGATACCAACAGTCCGTCTCGGGTGAGCCCATACAATAAGCCTCACCATCTAAAATACGAGGTGAAGCTACATGATTGAACGCTTTTAAATTTTTTCCAAAAATTCTCATCTTATCAATAGTCAAATAAGATAAAAAGAGAGTCCAAGAATTCGAGAGAACTTAAAACTTTGTATATCCTCATTTTTATTTTTATTTTTATCTTTATCTTTTTTTTCTTCTCTGATTCTCTAGAAATAATTGAAGGAAATGCCTGACAAAAAAAATAATAATGAGAATATTATTTTAAGTAAATATTACTATAAGAGAATATTATTATATATTATTTTTTATATATTATTATTATTATAATTTATATATTATTATTATAATAATATTAATAAGAGAATATTATTTTATAGTATGAGATTCAAGAATTAAAATTTCTCGAGTCTCAAATCTGTCAAAGTTTTCGATTTCGAATTCAAACGAAATGACATATACGAAAATTTAAAAACTCGCATATATAATCGAGTCGAGGATTACCAGGGAAGAGGGAATCCAAGAGAGCAACTTCCTCCTCGAACGTCTGATGCGGAGATATCTGGAGCTCCGGCTTCTTGTAATTCTTTCGGGAGTAAAAAACATTCTGCAACAAACGCGAAAGGATGCGATTAACGATGATATTTATAAAAAAATAAGAAAGAAGGTGGTCAACGAAATTCAAAAGCGAGAAGCAACGAGATGAAAAAAAATTACTTATTCCTTGAAAAATACATTATACTTGACTATACGGAAAGAGGGACATTCTTCTTTTGAAAATATATTTAGTTTTAACATGGAAATCTTGAAATGAGATTATACTGCATTAATTAAAGAAAAATATAATTGATTGAATAATTGCTAACTCGAATGAAGCCATTTTATATAGTTCAATCGAGAAAAATATATTCTTATGACTTAAGATTTAATTTTCTTGAATGGAAAAGAAACTATGTTGGATAGAAAATAACATTTTTAAATCAAAGATTATAATTTTCTTAAAGTAGAATTAAATAATTATATATTCTTGAGGTTACAATTACAATATTAAAATAAAATGATAATATTGTTGAAATTTAAAATTATTACATTCTTCGAAGAAGATTAGAAATTGTTGCGTATATACGAAACAATGAACGCGTTAGTTTAAGTATATAGGTTTTGATTTGACACTTCTTTTTTTTCTATGTAATGAAATTTTTTCCTGGACGAATTCAAAATATTGCTCGTTATAATGATCATTCTCCGATTCTACAATTTCCGAAGATTGATAATTTTTTTTTTTTTTTTAGAAGGGAGGCCTCCCCTTAAATCGCCGTCCGAGGGAGAGGAACCCGAAATTCTCGACGAAGCCACGAAGAAAGAGATCTCTACTCGTCCGACTGCTTATTCGCAGTGCGAGCGACAGATAGCGCGAGGGGAAACCACGTTTCGAGTAAAGGCGCATATCGCGAGGAGAGATAGAGGCGAGATCAATAAACCAGGAGGCGGCAGAGAGACGCGTCTCGCGGAGGGACCACGTATAATGTCGCGTTTCTTATCCGCGCGCACTAGGTCAAGTTATATAGCTAAGCACACTCCTGACAGGAGGAGAGGAAGGAGCTGATCCCCTTTTACTGCGCGTTTGGTGTCGAATTTTCACAGACACCATCGTGGCCTCAGGGATGAATCCCTTTGCTTTTGCCTGTTATAGATAGAATTTTTGTCCCCGGAAATATTGAAAAAATTAAATCCTATTCTTTTTCGAAGTGTCTCTGGTATCCGTCTCCTTTCTTTGAGCTCTCCTCATAATTTCGTGGCTTAGAGAACCGATAGATCTACGTCGATTCTTCGCTTTCAGGGGCATCCTTTACCTCGACATCGTCGAAGCCTGTGTACTCCTCGACGAACTCCAGGAGAGGCTCCAGACACTGCAGAGGCGTCGTGGTACCACAGGTCTTCAAGATGAGCCTGCGCTTGGATACGAACATGCTGCTCTCGCTGCGGATAAGATAAATAATCGATTAGACATTTTTTCTCAAGTATGTGACTTCTGTTAATCTTCAGCATTCCTCTAACAATCTACGCAATAATGTCATTCCATATTTGAGGCATAAATTTGGAAAATTTTATTTTCTGTCAAGAAGAGGAAATCAAAAGGAAAAGAAACTATTCTAGGATTAAAGAAGGTTCGGGAGGTGATTTTCTTTAAGGACGAAAGCTCTTGTTTGACTGGACAATTTTATTTAAAAACTCGCTTAATTTTTATTCCAAATTTGACGTACGTAAATTAACAGCACGATTTTAAATAATTGCACGATTAGCCATTTTTCTCAAGTACGTGACTTCTGTTAATCTTCAGCATTCCTTTAACAATCTACGCAATAATGTCATTCCATATTTATTTGAGGCATAAATTTGGAAAATTTTTTTTTCGGTCAAGAAGAGGAAATCAAAAGGAAAAGAAACTATTCTAGGATTAAAGAAGGTTCGGGAGGTGATTTTCTTTAAGGGCGAAAGCTCTTGTTTGATTGGACAATTTTATTTAAAAATTCGCTTAATTTCTATTCCAAATTTTACGTATGTAAATTAACAGCGCAATTTTTACAGGATCATAAACCAACATCCTTCACTAATGACTTGTGTGGTTGCGATGGAGCAGAGTTCGCGATACTTGGAGTTACACTATGCAAAGTCGCATACACTTAATAGAGTGAAGAGGGAAGCTCCTCTTCAACAAGTCTATGAATTAGTTTCTCTTTAATTTTAATTACTTTTGTATTTTCGCTAATTACAATAATTAATTATTTATTATCCGGGAGTAATATTGCATGGGCTATCAAACGAAGGTCATCAAAAAGAATGAAGGTTATTAAAAGATATTTGCTTGGCTGTCGTTGCCGTTGCTATTTTTGGATCTCTGCTTTACTATTAGAATGTTGAAGACAACTCGTGGAAATATCGTGGATACACGTGAATCTGAATCCCTGCCATTACGTCAGAGCCACGTCAGTATCGCTGTCGACATATTATCGTGCGATAATTCATTCATTCATTCAGAGATATAATTGCGTTCGTCTTGATTACGCTATCGCGAATCGAGGGACGATAAAAAAATCTGCTTTATCCGCGATAGTTTATTCCAGTTTGGAATTAATTACACCGATCCGCGAAAAATAGAAGCGATATTCCACTTATCTCTATGATTATATATATATATATATATATATATATATATATATATATATATTATTATAATTTTCAATAAATAGATCGAACGAGAATCATTTGAGATAAATTTAAAATGTTAATTTATAAACGTTTTTTTTTCACTTATAAAATTAATTAATTATCTGTCAATCAGTTTATTTATGCAATCTATCTAAGCTATGTTATTTCATTTGTGCTATTTATACATTTAGCATCATTAGAGTGTAAAAGAGTGTTTTTTTTTAATCGTTCTTTTTTTTCTTTATTTTTTTTAATATCGCGAATTTTCCAAGCGATTTATTTCAAATTTTAAACTCCTGGATGTAGGTGAATATTTATTTGCAATATTTGCTCCGATTTGTAATTTTTATTTGTTCGCGATCAAGTGAAAGCCGGAAAGAAGCGTCGTAAAAATTGTTTTAAAAATAGATCGTCAAAGGTTATCGGCGATAGACGTTGACCCTAAGATTCTCGGTAAAGACAACGAGAGCGGTACCGCAAATCTTAACTTGTCTTACGAGTGTCTTAATAAGAATGTACACGATAGACGGACACCAAACGTAATTGTATAGTAGTATGTATATTGGATTGATACGAAGAAATTCCAGGAATGGAGGAAAAACCAAAGGTTGAAAGGATTCAGACGTGCGAGTAATGTTTATTATTATTTGAATGTATCTTCGACAGGGGACGTAAAAAAAATTACACGACGAGTAACATGAGGGACAGGGGGTTTGTTGGATTTCATAGGATACAGAACATGTTATTATTTATTTATTATTATATTATTTATTATTATATTATTTTATTATTATATTATTTATTATTATTATTATATTATTTTATTATTATATCATTTATTTATTATTATATTATTTTATTATTATTATTATTATTTATTATATTATTTTTTATTTATTATAAGGTAAGTAAAGTTTCATTTGCGTCTACATAAAAAATTATGATGACTGAGATCTAATAGACCCTACGTCCCTTGTCAAAGATAGTGTATTCATTTATCAATTTTTAAAAAAATTTAACAGGAAATCTTCAACAATCCTTCTTGGTAATACAAAGATAAAGAAATGTTAGAATATGATATTAGCGTCACTTATACGATTAGAAATAGTGACAATAAAAATCGGTGTAAAGATAAAACAATGATAATAAACGTCGATAAAGAATTAACGATAGTAATCATAGCGAGTTTCGTATTCTTCTCGACCTCGTTCCCATTATAATTTGTAATGCGCGATATTGCCTCCATTTAACTCCAAGAATCATGAGTTTTAATATTGCAATTGTAAAACATGATAAGTACATATATTGATTTACGATCGGTGATTATATGAATGCGAAATGTTTCTGTTTTTCCTTCAAGTTTTATGTAAGATAATAATCTGAATTTTTTCAGAGAGATAAAGATAAATTAAAAAAAAAAATTCAACAACTTTTCTCGGAATGAAAGAAAAAGTATATAACGAATGTTTAAATTGATGAAAATTCTCGCAATTAAATTATCTCGGAAAATTTGATAGATATATCGATATTAAATTAAATAACAAATTAATTTTTTCATAAAAATTCAAGTTAAGAAAGCGCAACTTAAATTAGTGTAACTGAATCAAGTAGAAATCTTTAACTACAATGAATGTCTCTTAGTTCTTTCTTTGGATCATTTTCAACAAATTCAAAGAATAACAAAAACATATGGCTTGAATTTCAATTCTCATTGTCAACGACTTTCGTCTTTGAAATCTTAACGGTTAGACCCGACAGAAGATTTACAGTCTTTTGTTAATGGTCTTCTGGAAATTTACAATCTTCAAATAGAAACTTATATTCTCCATCAATAGAGATTTAATGGTAAATTAAAATTTATTAATAGAAACTTATAGGCTTATATCCATTGATGGAGATTTATTGATAAATTAAAATTTATCAAAGACAAATAAGTCGATAAAAATGAGAACTAAAGGTCAAGATATATAATCTTTATAAGAAGAGAAGATTTCTACATAATTTAGTTGTGCCTATTTATTGCGCTTGGCTTTTATTAGCACACTTTCTACTCGAATTTTTATATTTAATATATTAAAGTCTTATGTGTTATATTTAATAGAAAATAAAATTCTGTTATATTCTTAATTATATGTTATCTTATAAATCTTATATATTATATGTTATATTTAATATAAAATATATTCTTAATATATAAAATCTTATTCAATATAAAATTTTTATATTTAATGTATATTAGAGCTTTTTCGTTTTTCATTAATAACGTTTAATTATTAATTATTCCTTTTATTGCATAAATAATGAAAGATAATATAAGGTGAAAGTTTCGAAGGAATTTCAAAAAAATTTCTACAAAAAGTCAAAAGAAGCCGATGAAAATTAAAAAAAGATAACTTAAAAGCATTCAATAGCACATCACATTTTTCTCTTTCTTGAAAGAATGTGATGTGCTATTGAAAACTCAAAGAAAAGAAAAGAACCTAATATTTTCGTTTCATTTATTTCTTTCAAATATATTCTCTGCTTTCTCTTCGTTTTACTACATCATTTTATCACAGTGCCCTTTTTACTATCAAGATTTTTTTCACATCACGTTTTTCTTATCAATCTTGACTGATTTTGATAGGAGACACTAGTCTATTCATAGCAAAATAAACTAATCTTGACGCTAGTTTATTTTTTGCTATGTATATACAGGATGTCAGAGCAATTTATTCCCAAAAAAAAAACTCTTGCAGCTCAAGAGATTTTTAAAACACTATGATAAAGTATATTTTCATCGAGTACTTTTCGAGGTAAGAGGCTTGAAATAATTTCTTAACTTTCACATAAACCATAAAATATCTAGTAAAATATTCATTTTTCGATTATCTTAATACTTTTATGTACAAAATAATAAGGAATCAATTGATGTAAAAAAAACACATGATTGTTTCGAAAAAAAAAAAAAAAAAAATGTAATTGTCAATTACAAATTACATATTTTTTTTGTACATAAAGTATTTAGATAAAAGTATTTAGATAAAATAATCGCAAAAAGAATATTTTGCTAGATATTTTATGGTTTATGTAAAAATTAAGAGATTATTTCAAGCCTCCCGACTCGAAAAGTACTCGATAAAAAAAAAAAAAAATTATTATATCGTTTCGAAAAGCTGTCGAGATAAGCCGCAAGAGGTCTTTTTCGGGGGAAGAGATTGCCCCGACACCCTGTATATTCGTATTCCAAATAAACTCTAGTACTCCTATTACAATTTTTCGAGCGAGAAGAGAAGGAAACGATGGACTCGGGGAGCGCGATTCGAGGCGGAGGACCCGCGCCACGAGGGTTGATCCGCGCGAAAGTGTCACCTTGACTATATTTATTCCTCGGGGTAGATATCGCGACAGGAGCAGAGAGGAGAGCGGCACTGGGTCGACCCGCGCACCCTCGAATATTCTGGAACCGGGGCACGTCGCACCCCATCCCGTCCCACCCCCCGTTCCACCCCGTGGCGTCGCGGCCGGCCGGGCCGGACGGTGCATCTCTCTTCTCCATCAAAACAATTCGATATATCGATTATACAGCGCGCGGAGGGTGAGTCTCGGAGCGTCTCTCCCCCCGCTCTCCCTCCCCCTCCTCCTCGGAACGCCCCGCGAAGCGCCAACCCGCTCTCGACCTGCCTCGCGCGTCACGAAAAATTGCGCCGTTGCACCCCCAACACACCCGCGCTTCCTACCCCTAGGTGCCTCGACGATACACTGAGGGAAAAATTTGTTTGAATCAAATAAATTTGCTTTCTTGAAACTTTTCCTCTAAATGGAAGGAATTGTTTATTTCATTTAAGCAAAAGCATTTAATTTTAATTAAATATGCATGTTATATTAAGTACATTATTTTCATTTATATATTTTTTATATTTAAATACTATCTTCGTAAAATATATACTATAATTTGTTAAATTAAATATATTATTTTTTTAGAAAATTTAAAATTTTTGAGAATAAAAAATGCATTTTGATAAATATTTTGTAAAATTAAAATATAAAGATATTTAATTGAAAATTATATTTTTTTAAGCATATATATTTTTTTAAACATATGTAAATAAATACTTAACTTAAGCAAACAGACGTTTTGAATACAAGTAAATACGTGATTAATACCCGCCAAATAAATAGCTTTCTTGAGTTAACTAAAATTTGTTTATTTCAAGATAATTTTTTCCTCAGTGTATCCCCCGTCGTTGGTCCAATGAAAATTTCGCGTATCATCATTAGACTAATGACGCATTTTTCGACCAGAAAAGCGAAATTTTATTGCCCGACTATCTCGATGTCGATAACTCTAAATTAAAGCTTCTTGAATTTCGCTAGCGTCGAAAATATGATTTCCTTTCGGAAATGTCAGACGACGATTTTTCACAAGAGTGAAAAATTATTAACGGATTTTTTTTTAAAAAAAATTTCTCCCGATATTGATGCAGGTATCTTGTTTTAAACGAACAGAGTCTCAATAAAGAGCCCCGAGCGAATTCTTATCTCCTACTTTTTTGAAATTTTTTATTTAATATTCATTATGATATACTTTAAGCACAGTCAGAATCTTTTGAAACTATTCAATTTATAATTTTCAAAAGTTTCTTTTAAGCTTCTAAATGAAACTGTTTATCAGCTATTTAAGGTTCAAAGCAGGAGAGAAAGAGCTCAATTTTTATATAAATTAAATTAAATTAAATTAATATAATTTAAATTAATATAATTTAATATAATAAATTAAATTAATTCCCCAAAGTTATATAAACGAAAAAATTGAGATTGAAAGTAGGAGTAAACTTTCGATTCAAGGCACATCACATTTACTAAAAAAATTAAAGTCAATAAGATTCAAACGAGCGCGGAATTAAATTCGCAAATAGATTTCTTGCTTCTTGAATTTTGCTAGCGTCGAAAATGTGATTTCCTTTCGGAAACTTTCCTGTCAGACGACGATTTTTCACAAGAGTGAAAAATTATTAACGGATTTTTTTTTTAAGAAAAATTTCTCCCGATATTGATGCAGGTATCTTGTTTTAAACGAATAAAATGAAACTCATTTATCTTCAATTATGATTTAGATAAAATTATGATTCATACTTTCTCTTCTTGCCGAAAACGTCTTATTTTTATTTTAATTATTAATAACACGAAAATATTTTATAAAAATGCACTTTGACACGTTCCTCTTTTGTTAAAATATTCGGAAAAATAAAAATGATAAGAAATTTAATAAAACGAACAAACGTGACGGATTTTAAGTGATATAAGCCGAGTTTTATCGAACTTTTCAAGTAATTTTCGACGAGCATATATCGATTTTAGAAAAAAACATCGCTGAAATAAGTATGTAAATAAACGCAAGAACGTTAAACTCTCAAGAATATTCCATTTCAAGGAAGAAGACTTCAAGGAAGAATTTATATCGAGAAGAATTTATATCCTTTTCAAAGAAAAACTTAATTGTCAGACACAATCGCGTATCTATCTTCCTGTGTATAAATAAAAAAAATAAAGGGGGATTATTAATTCGAAGCCTTCTTAATTAGTGCTATTCTACCAAGGATTCTCCGTCGTTATTTCATATTGGATATACAGTTGAAACTTTGATAAGATCTATACACATTCGAGATTAGATTAGGGTAAGAACACTTGCTTATCAATGATCCCCTGGAGTTTCGAGGAAAATGATATTTATTATTTATTTATTTAGAATAAAATTAGGAGAGTTATAATTTTTATTTACAACACTCGGAGTTATTTATGACTCGAAAATCAGGCCTTAAAAAAATTCCCTAATGATTCTCATGGGTTCCTTTACGAGGATCCGGCAGCGAATTTATTACCTGAACAAGAATTTCGTCAACTTTTTAGACAAAAGGACTTACCTGAGAACATAAGCGTCTACTTGATCGCTGCGACAGAAACTGATGATCTCGCAACGGACCATCTTCAACAATGATTCCCATTTTTGTCTAAAAACAGAAAAAGAAGCTCGATCAGCCGGATAGGATTGTAAAGTTTATTTAAACGATTAGACTTATCATTGTTGCACGCACGTGAATTTCTTAAAATTATTTAAAAATTACATTAGAGAGATACGCAATCTCTCTCTCCGATAAATTGGAGGAATTTATTTATTTTTATAAATAGCTGTGCTCTATATATGGTATCGAAAAATTGATAAAAGTTGATGCAAACACTGGATTTATTTGATGACTCGACAAATATTTAATAAAATACTACTCTAATATTACATAATATTTAATACTAATACTTTTAAAATATTACTCATAATATTTAGTAATAATAAAATAATGTTATATATAAAAGAATATATTTAATAATAATAAAATATTGATATTTGATAATAATATATTTAATAATATTTAATAATAATATATTCACTAATATTTAATAATAATAAAATACTAATATTACCAGAAGTAAATTAGATCGATCTTTGTATAAATGAAACCCTTATTACGAATTTCGTTATTATAATTCCCTCAAATATATCTTTGAAGAGAGATTCGCATAATCATAAATATACAAAAAAATTTATAGGGGAGAAAAAATAGATACACAAAGCTTGATTTTTTATTTTACTATTTAATTTATAACCGAATTCTCGCTAAATCGGATATTCCACGACGTTTGTTTATCTGACTTGCAAGACCTTGACTCTCTAAACTGAAATAATTCATTTTTTCTTCTCAGCGAGCCATTCAAGCGACGACATCAAGGGAACCTCGTCGTCGACCTGATCTCCCGACAACGTCGAAAATCTCGTCGGAATTTCGCGCTCTCCTCCTCTCATCAGCCGGCGACGACGACGGTGGGCTTCTAAATTTATTGTCTCGCCGCGATATGCAGAAATAAACGACGGTGGTCGGCATTGCCGGCCTACTCGTCTAAGGCGCACCTTGCGAGGTTCAATGACACCCTCGACGTCGCACGTAAACAACCGCGACAATAATCGGCCCCGTGAATCGGTTACGTCGCTATCAATCCGCGGTTACGTAATACGTCGCCAACGTGACCGCCACATGTGAAGTTGAGCAATTCCTCGTCATCCACGCGCATTATCGATTACTTTAATTACTCTACATCTCTCTCTCTCTCTCATCATTCGAATACATCTTTCACGGTCAAACGTTTTCAAGAGTGCTCTCTTGACGCATACATTTCTTTCATCGTCCAAGACCCATACAGCACAGAACATTGCAGCAATATTATTATTATTGTTGTAATATTGCAGCAATATTACCGCAATATTGCTGCAATGTAATTCTGTGCTGTATGGCTTCAACTATCCTGGGACGATACCCATGCAGTATAGACCATTGTTGTTACATTGCAGCAATATTGCAGCAACATTGCAATACTTATTAATGAGACAATTGGCTACCGATGACGGGAAATGACGTTAGAACAGGACAGAAAGAAGAAATATTACAATATATATGCGCCAATTATTTTTAAATTTTGACAACGCGATAACTCTATCTTTGACACCCGAGAAAGATTCTTCTTCTCCAGCGATCTGACCCAGGATCTCTCGCGATCTTTGCAAACGCGAGTATAAGGTTCTCAAAAATTTGCCACCCCCTTACATCGCTTTACACATCATCTGTCATAGAAGACTTCTCGGTTCCCATACAGCACAGAACATTGCAGCAATATTGCAGTAACGTTGTAATATTGTTGCGACATTCCTGCAATATTGCTGCAATGTTCTGTGCTGTATGGGGTTGCTCTTGTCAAGTACGACGCTGGTGGCTGGGTCATTCTCATATTCAGGATCAAAAAGTGCGTATACACGCGACATCGACCGGGACGACGTGAACGATCCAACCTAGCTTACCAGGTAGCTGCCAGGCGTCGACGCCGGCGCGACTCGTCATCGTTCATCCTGGCCGAGACCGGCGTCGACTGTCATCGTTCTCGCGGGGAGAAGGAGGAAGAGCACAGCAACAGAAGAAGGAGGAGGAGGAGGAGGAGGAGGAGATGAAGGAGAACGAGCGAGACGCCGGCGGGCGGCGTACTTACCGCGGTATCTGTCGGAGATCACCCTGGTGCTGCTTGAGGCCCTTGGAGCTGGTGAACCAGATCTCGAGGAGCTTCTCGACGCCCTCGAAGAACTGCACGTTGTCGGCGCAGTCGTCCTTGGTGTCCGCCATCCTCGTCGTCGTCGTCGTCGTCGACGTCGTTGTCGTCGTCGTCGTCGCTCGGTGCCCGAAATTGCGGATCGGCACGCAATTATTCTCCCTCTTTCTCCCTCCCACTTGTTTCTCCTCGCGATCTCCTTCCGTGTCTCTCGCACTCGTTTCTATGGGTCCCACGGATCGACCCGCTCGAATGAAATTATACGCGGAGCGGACACCCACCAAAAAAAGCACTCTACTCCCGGTGACGCGCGCTCGTAGACTGACTTGACACACTGACCACACACCAGAGGCACACACTGATTGACTGATTGACGGACGGGATGGTCGCCGGTGCTGCCAAAGCACGCCGCTGCGCCGCCGCCGTCACCAACCAACCGCCGCGCTGCACGGTTCGCGCGCTTCTGCGCGCGCTCCCGCGCCGCGCGCGGCGCCGCGCCGAACCGCGCCCGACGCTCGCGCATGCGCGCGCGATCGACCGTGGCCGCGAGTAACGGAGAGCTCGCACCGCGCCCGGCGTTCGAACGTGACGTCCGGAGCCAATGGGAGAGCTCGTTTCCTAGGGCCGAAAATGTCGTCGCCTGAAATTCGCGGTTTTCATTGGACGAGCGCGACGCGGGATGAATCCTTCGTAAATTCTTCCGGAGCCAACCTGATTCCGATTGTTGCTTTAGAATTACATACTTTTGAAGAGAGAAAATTTCGCAAGAATAAAATTATTAAAATACACAATTGTAACTGTGTAATTTTAATTGATTTACATTCAATAAAATATTGTTAATAATTGATATGAATTTTTGAAGAGAATATAAATTAATAATATTTACAGAAACGCTTTTCTGTTGCGCGATTCATCATTTCGACTAATGATAACAGATAGTAATAAATTTTGATTTATATTTAATTTTTTCATTCATATCAATTCGTATCAATGAAATCAAACATTTAGTAGGTTATATAGTCAGTGATATATCACGTGTTCGTAATTAAAATGTAGTCATTTAGAAAATGAGAATTTTTTTGTTTCAATTATACAACAAATTCTTAAGAAAATGTAACTTTCTTATTAAATTGTCAGATATAATCAATAAATAAAATGTAAATAAATAAAATAAAAAATGAGGTTTTTTATAAATAAAATATAAAACAAAATACGTAAGCGAATCAATAATGATATTTATCTATTTTATAAAAAAAATAGATCCTTATAAAAATTTCTTAATCGCTTTGATTATTGCAATTAAAAGGAAATACAAATTTAATTTCTTCTCGTTAATTTAGAAAATATTTGTCTTATATTCTTCTTTTAAAAATAAAGTCAAGCCATTTTAAAAATTATTAAGAAATTATTAAGAAAGAAATGTGTACAAGTTATTGATTATCTCTACTTTTCTATGTATTTTCAAAATGGCAAGATTTATGTTATTATCAAATTTGTTGCTTCTAAGAAATTTGTGCCAATTGTTTGCATTGTATAGAGATTGCATTATCTTTATTTAAAAGAAAGAGAGAGAGGCACAAAGAAAGAGAGAGAGAAACAACAAAATTTTTACAATAATTTGAATATGGTGATTAAAAATTTATTGAATAAATTGCACATATGCTGTCAATTTATGATCAACAAATGTTAAATATTATGTTATCAATAATGATTCATTAATTGATAAGATAGGAGATACAAATTTTATCTATAAATTAATGAAATGTACAATAGTACATTTAATCTTATTGTGCAGTTTCTTGATTTGTGTCTTTTACTTGATTTGTATCTTTTACTTGGTTTGTGTTTTTTACTTGGTTTGTGTTTTTTACTTGGTTTGTGTCTTTTACTCGGTTTGTATCTTTTACTTGGTTTGTGTCTTTACTTGGTTTATGTCTTTTAACATTCCTTGTGGTAGTTTTTTTATCGATACGTCGTTTTAGTGATTTCTTCAATGACGGTTTCTTCACCAGCACATCCTCATCCATAGGTTCAATCACTTGCCCAAGCTTGGTGTTGACTGTCGGCTGTATTATCTGCAAATGAGCATTCATCGGGACGAAAGTCCGACTGATGGGAGCTCTGATGTTCGCTTCGTAGTCCTTGATTCTGGTGAATGGATACGGTAGTTCGCTAACGCGGTGTTTCTTCAATTTTTTATCATCGTTCTCGAATATAATGACTTTGCCCTGGTTTTCGGGTCTGCGCGGCGCTTCTTTAGGCATGTTCAATATAAATCGTTTCTTTTTACGACGTATTTTACTCTTCTTGATGTTTGGTCCCGTCCAATTCCCCCATCCCGGCAAGCTCAGATCGATGCTCTTTGGCTGCGACTTTTCTATCTAAAATCATTTTACAAATGTTAGATTGCTAAAACAGCTTCTGTCAATTTTTCAAAGAAACATACAATTTTATTTGACATCTATGATCCATTGCAAACAATAATATTGATTTTACCAAGAAGGAAAAATCAATATCATTATGTGGCAAATAACATAAACATTTTTATGTGAATTTTTACGTGAATAAATTTTAAAAAATTTTTATTTACCTCTTCCTCCTGTTCCTTCCTAAATTCCTCGACAACATTGTCGTCCGCGAATGCCTCGCTCATTATTTTGTGCATTTCCTCTTCTTGATCACAATTCTCCTCTTCGCCTGTAACTATATCTGGTATCTGTGTCCTTAAATATCTTGATTTCATATTTAAATATTTTGTTGGGTCTATTTCCACTGCATGGCTATTATTAGTCGGTTCCTGTTCTGCACTCGCTGTTTTCAAACTCGTTAAATCTTTATCCGTCTGCGCGTTTTCCCTAGAAGTCGTTTCCTCCAGTGGACAATCCAAGATAGGTTTCTGTTTGGTATTTTTAAATTCGAGCTTCGATAAATCATCTTCGTTCTGTTTCTCTTTCTCCTCTTCCTTTTGTTTTTCCACGTTATTCTTTATTTTAAATTTGTTCTTTACGTTTTGCAACCTTAAGTCTACTTTATGTTTCAGTTTTTCTTCCATGGAATCAAAGATTTCATTTATGTCTTGTGATCTGTATTTCTTATTACATAATTTACTTTCTGTTTCTTCTGTTTTACATTCTTCAATCTGCCATTCAGATGTAGCACCTATAGCGTTGCATAGATTTTCGCTCTCCGCATCGTTTGTATTTTTGCTTTCCACATCATTTGCATTTTCTTGTAAATTATCATTACTTTTCTCTACATTTATTATTTTGTGATGTACTTTATTATTACATAATGTCACCTCTTTCTTTTCCGATGTAACTTCATTCGAAGTTTCGATATTTTTTTCTTCTTTGTCCTCTTCTTTTTTTTGATGCTTCTCATCCCAGAATCTTCGATACTCCTTGATAAAGTCATCAACTTCATTCTCAGTTTTCACATTGTTTTCATTGTCATTTTTTAATAATATCTCATTTGCATCTTCCTTTTCTTCCTCCTCCTCATCACTATCTATTCTCTTTAATTTTTGTGTCAATTCTTTGCTAATGGCCAATTGATTAGCAAGTACCTGTCGAGTCTAAAAAAAAGAATATATTATTACATTAATATTATTATATTAATTTATTTTAATTTTTTATTATATTTATATTATTATATTAATTTATTTTAATTTTTTAATAATGCTTACTTCTTTGTTATATTTGGCTCTGATCTGTTGATTCTTAGCCCATTGGCCTGTGTTCTTGTGTCTTAACGACATTCTCTCTTCTGCGCGAGTCTTATCTAACTGTTCTAACTTTGCCAAAGCTTCTTCTGGATCAGTATTTTGCAATTTCTCAAACTCCTTCAGTTGTTGCTTAATCTTATCTTTTTTTTGAATGCGATGAAATTTCTTGCTTTTTATTTTACGCTGTCGACGCGCCTTTGCCTCTTGGTACGACTAAAAATATAAAGAAATCAGAATCAATATCTCATCAGTATCTTTTTTTTTATCTTTTATTACTAATCTTCTAAAAAATGCATATTATTTATATTATGTATCTACCTGCTGTGCTCTGAACTTGGCAGCTTCCATCCTCCTTATTATCATTTCTTCTGTTGTCATTTTGTATTCATTATCTTTTTTTTCTTCCTCGGCAGGAGGATATAGTAACGATGGATCTACTTCCTCAAATTTTTTCATTAGTTCAGATTTTGTTTTGAATCCTCTCAAAAATTGAGGAATTTTTGAAGCATCTTTCACTTCTTCTGTTCGTTTTAATGGGAAAAACAGCCGATCCGCTGTTCTATTCCTAGCAACTACGGCATTCCATTTGTTCAAATCCTTTTTGACATTATCGTATCCAACTGTCCTTTTTACCTGCAAATTTTAGATTTTTATAATTTTTGTTTTGCTTTCGTATTATTTATAATTATATTTTTATAGTCAAAATTCAAGAAAATTAGTATTATATACTTCAAATTTTTATATTATTAAAAAAATACTTTAAAATAACAATATATTATAATCCAGAGGCAGTTTTACTCGATTGTAATTTAATTATTTCAGATTGTCACCAAGACCAAGATAAAATTAATTTTAACGAGAAATTAAATTATTTTTAAACAAGATAATTTATTAAAGGATTCCGTAAGTCAACTAACTCTTTCAGCGGATAGTTTCTCCAATACTTTAGGAAACACACTCTCTTTTCTCTTTCTTCTTTTCTTGTGCAATTTATTTATGTTTTGATCTTTTTTTTGACTTCCCATCAATTTTTTTACATTCTTATCTATCACTCCACTTCTTGGTAAAGAGTTTTCTATCGCTTGTATAATAGGTTCGATTTTTTCCGCCTTCTCTCTGTAAAAAGAAAAAGATAAAAACGTCAATACCACAAATTTAATCAGAATTTTAAGGCCCGTTTAATTGCACTCTCATTAGTCCTTACTTTCGACGTATATCGAGCTGTCTCACAGTTTCGATAAGTTTCGAATGATGTTGGGAAACGTCATCATCGTTGACGTCTAAAATCTGATTGATTTCGGTGTCACTCATCTTCGCACAAATTTTTTTTACTAATCAAGCTTTGCCGAAAACGTTCAACTAACCACGTGCTTACCATACATCTTCCATCAAATTCTGCTTATTAGGTTAAGTTATGGCCGAGCTGTGAGGCATAAAGTACGAAAAATTTAGATCGCATCGATACACGTGCCAGAGATATGAGAGATGTCATGGCGCGCTTTTAGGTTGATTCCTGGAAGCGATGCTCCCTCTATGGACATTAAAAACGTGGACATGAACTACCAAACCAATGTCCACGAATGTTCTCAGAGGGTAACATATATGTCCCTGATAATATAAATAATGTAAATAAAAATATAAATAATTTAATTAATAATAATTTATTATATAAAATATTAGTATGTTCTTTCTTTTCATACTATTATTTATATTATATATTTATATTATATACTTATATTATATATTTATTTATTTATGAATCTTCTTTTTCTTTTTCTCAATATCATTTATTTATTTATTTATTTAGTTTGCTCTCAGTCTTTTAAAATGCAAAACTAAATATTATAAAACTAAATATTATTATTACAGATTTGAGTTTGGAAAAGCGCGATAAAACAATCGAATCATTCGCAATTCAAATCATTAGCATAACAAAAGGTTCCATGATACATCAATCGTTTATAATTAATTGATTTAAAATAAAATATACTTCTATAATTTAAAATTTAAAATTAAAATTTATAATTTAAAATTCCGCGTGTATATGTAATACATAAAATATTTCGGCAGAGAATTATTAATAATATCATGTTTGGCCTTGACATATAGCAAGCGAGCTATACATGTCACGGCTTTGTTATCATTCGCACGGTAACATTCGAATAATAAAGTAGTAATGTGGGAAACGCTTCATATATTATCAAATTCTTTTTCCAACTCGATCGTGATTAATATTGCAGAAATCTAAAATAATAAATTATAATTTCCATATGAAATCCATTTTTACGAGCAGAAATTATTTCTTTAATATTTATAAATATTTATAGAGATCGAATACAATGTCTGCAACGTTTTATCGCTTTATTTTTTAATTATTGAAATATAATTCGAATTGTGAGAACGCGCAATAAAACAATTGAGTCGTGGATCTAAATAATTAATATAATGAAAGACTCCATGATACATCAATCTTTTAATAAATATAATCATATAATTACAAAATCTATACAATCTAAAATACTTCTATATACTTTAATATATTTCATGTATATATGTATACATATGTTAAAATACGTAAAATATTTCGATGACGAACAAACAATAACATCGATCTTGGCGGCGTAAGCAATAGCGCGCTAATGTTTATACGCCATAGTCTTGAAAAACGTTTCAGTAAAAAAATAATAATAACGGTCTTTCAGACCAATTTGTTCGGCTCTATTATTATTCGCGCGACGCACTCAAAGAGTAAAGTAGTGGTACAAGACGCTCCGTTAAATCCTTTTCTAGACGCGATCGCGATCAATATCGAACAATTATTTGCTGTATTAAAATATGTAAAATATAATATAATATGATATAATATAATATAATATAATATAATATAATATAAATATACATTGTTTACGCCAAGGTATTATTGTCTGTTCGTTATCGAAATATTTTACGTACTTTAACATATTCATATTATATTATATTATAATATAAAATATAATATAATATAATACAATAAAATATAATGTAAAAGACGTAATTAAAATCGACCATACTGGCAATTTTATTGATGATAAAAAATCACAACGTTTCGACCATAGATTTTGGTGCTTTTCGAGTAAAAGTAATTTAGTTAATTATTCTATCGTTGACATGATAATCTTGACAAAGTGATTTCCTTATTTCTCACGATAGAATAATTAACTAAATTACTTTCACTCGAAAAGGACCAAAATCTATGGTCGAAACGTTGCGATTTTTTACCATCAATAAAATTGCCAGTGTGGTCGATTTTAATTACGTCTTTTATTTTATCTACTGGCGACATTCAAGAATTTAATGTTAAAATATAATGTAATATACTTCGATATGACGAACGGACAATAACACGGTATTCGGCCTTAACGATGTAAACATTAGCACGCTAGTCATACGGTCTTAGTATCATTCACACGGCGACACTCGAGCAATAAAGATCGTAGTGCGAAATACGTCGTATAATATTCTTAAATTAATTATTAATTAAACGATTATTGTATCATGACTTTCAGTTATATTAAACTTTTGATTCTATAATTCGTATTAATGTACATGTACTGCATATATATTTCAACAATGAAAACAACATTTGTAATGAAATTAAAGTGCGTTTCTCGTAATTATTCCGCGATTTAATAAATAATTAATCTGTGTGTACATGTGTGTGTGACTTTAAAAATATACTTATATATAAATTCAATTTTCGTATATGTACGTCATAGTACGCGTAAAATATTTCGGCAGCGAGGTCAATAACACGACGTTCGGCCTTGATGACGTAGCGCTGTATTGTTTACATAGACGAAGACCTTGTATCATTCGCACGGCGACATTCCAGTGGTAAAGTAGTGATACGGAACACTTCGTATTATTGAATTCTTTTTCTAACAGTGCGATCGCGATTAATATCGAAATATAATTCGCTACGATTATTACAATTAACAATTAATTCACTCTTAATGAATAACATGAAACTATATGGCGATGATACATCCATCGAAACGCGATCCTTCGTTATTCCAAATAAAAATTGAAACAAAAGAGGCAAAAATTATAAATACATAGACGATCTTGTATTATTCACATTCCAACGGCAACGTAGTGATACAAAACGCTTCGTATTATTGAATTCTTTTCCTAAACGCGATCGCGATTAGTATTGAAATATAATTCGCTATGACTATTGTAGAGCGAATCATACTTCTTCAGCCCTTATACAATATATTAATGTGCATTTCTCGTAATTATTTCGCGATCGGAAGTGCCGTGCAAAGGTCTCGCGATCGTTTCTACAGTATATGACTAAATATAATTAATTGTTTGTTCGCGAGTGAATATGAGTGCTATGAGAAAACAGCAATTTTTATTTATTGTTTATTTGCGAATTAGAATTTATATAGTATATCACAAAATATATTATATATAAAATATTATATATAATATAACCCTCCCACGGGGTACACCTTGTCGCGGTGGGAGGGCTTAGTACTTGGATGGTGCCTTGAAGTTTATTTAAAATTTTTTAATTTAGAATAAATCTCAAGGAGCCTGAAGAAGAAGCTAAGTACCCTTTCGCATCGTCGGTGCCGTCAACGTGTCGCGGACGGCGGCGTCTCGTTACCGCGTTTAGCTTTTTCGCGTCATCGCGTCATCGCGTTGGATTTTCGCTCGTACCGAAACCGGGAGTGCCGTTTAAAGTATATATATATTAAATATATACATCGCGCGACAAAACAGAAAATTTTTAATCGTATCGAATAGTGCGGGAGTGCCGTTCAGTATCGCGCGTAAAAGTGCGGAAGTAGCGATATAAAAATATCGCACGTAAGTGCGGGAGCCGCTAAAAGTATCGCGCGTTTAAGACTGAGAGGAGGAGGAGGCCTAGGAAAGGCATCGGGCTCCGGCACAGCAACCTTCTGGTAAGCAATTTATTTATTTGTAATTATATATTAAATATTAAATATATTTAGTATAATTTAAATTAAACAATTAAATAATTGATCGCAACAATTAATTTGATATTTTTATTTATATTTTTTTATTTATATTTAATAAGAAAGAATTAAAGAAAAAGATTTTTATATTAGAGCTATAATCTTGTAAAGGTGTAAGCTTTTATAAAGTTATAAAAGAATTATTAGTAATGTTCTTCAAAATTTATAGAATTATTTTATTAATCTACTATTATTATATGCATCGAATACAAAATTCAATGTATACAATAATTTTTGAAATATTAATTATTTTGAACTCTACTACATTAGAATCTTCTTTTGTGTGTATGTTATAGATCGATGCAACAACCCTGATGATCTGAGAGGAGGAGCAGGCCTAGGAGAGGCATCCTGCACCAGCGGAACAACCTGATGGTGAATATTTATTATTTATATATCTACTGTTAAAAATCGTACACACAATAATACGGTTTTATTATTTAAATGAATTAAAAAAAATTAGAAAGATTTTTATAAAAATTATATTAAAGTTTCTATATATGTATATTTAAAAGATAGTTTCAGAATTTATAAAATTTTTCCATACATGTTTACAACTGCTTATTATTTTACACTGGATATGAAATTCCGCATAATATTTTTTTGAAATATCGATTTTGAGCATTGTTATAAATGAATTCTATATTTGTATGTTACAGACAACGAGCTTCGATAACAACTCCGCTGTTGCGCATCAGTGCCGGTGAGTGAATAAAAACTTTTTACTTTAAAGTAACGGATTCGTAGAGATTGTAGATGTAGATGTAGATGTAGATTGTAGATTGTAGATTGTAGGTAAATCCGTTGCTTTAAAATGGATGAGTTAAGATAGATTGAATTAAATAAATATTTTATAAATTCTTTCGAAATGCTTTGCATTTATTGCAAAAATATATTTAAATATTAATTAAAAAAAGAAAATCAAGAAAAGATTATTTTTATAAAGATTTTGTCTAATTTATTAAATAAAGAACACACATTAATATTTTTATCAATTTTATTAATTTTTAATGCTACTTTATTCTTATAATGAGTACTTATCTTCTAATTTCTTATTCATCGTAGCTCATCCATCGTAAAATTTGTTTGATAAAATTTTGAAGATATTATTGAAAAGATATTATGAAAAAGATATTATTGAAAATTTTGTAGATATTATTTTTAAACTTTACTTTAACTTAAGATAAAGCCAAATGATTCATTAATTAAATAAATTGTAATATGATAAATGTTATACACACTTTAATTTTATATTTTATTATAAATTATATATTACTATAAATATTTACTAATTATATATATTATTATAATATCAATCAATTTTGATTGATAATCTGCACAGAGACTTTTATATTATAAGAATTCTCTATATATTATACTAAACTGCTAACAGTT